TAGCACTAGCATATGAACTTTTTCACGAGATTGATCGAAAAAAAATCAGAAGGAATATTGTTTTTAAAGTAGACATGGCAAAGGCGTATGATCATTTAGAATGGTCGTTTTTTACCAAAACGATGATGAAGTTTGGTTTCTCTGATAACTGGTGCTTTCTCATTCTACGGTATCTTGATAACTGTTGGTACTAAGTGATTTTAAATGGTAGTTTTTATGATTTCTTTAAATCAGAACTGGGTGTTAGACAAAGGTATCCCCTTTCACCAGCATTGTTCATCATTGCTCAGGATGTTCTAAGTAGAAATCTTAACCATCAAGTTCTACAGGGGCGAATTCAACCATACCATGCTGGCTGAAACACCATTAATATTAGTCATTTGTTTTTTGTAGATGACATGCTACTTTTCAGTAATGGGTCAAAATGTTCAGTGGATAAACTAATATGCACAATTAGAAAATACTGTGAGTGTAGTGGTTAGCTGGTGAACATTGGTAAAAGTGGTTTTCTATGCAGTAGTAAACTTCTCATAAACAAGATCAGACTTTTGCAGAGATGGATAAGGTTTAGACATATGAAAGCTCCAACCACATATTCGGGTATCTCTTTTTTCAAGGGACGTGCTAAAATATCCTTTTTTCAGACTTTAGAGGAGAAGATGCACATAAAACTAGCAGGTTAGAAGGGAAACCTATTATCCACGGGTGGCAAGCAAACACTAATATAGTCAACACTATCCTCTCTTCCAGTGTACACTATGGCAATGATGCCTATTCCAAAGAGTACATTAAAGCCCATTCAGTCTTGTATCTCAAATTTCTTCTGGAACAATGGTGAAGAAGGGCGACATCATTAGGTCAGTTGGGAGAAAATTACTAAACCTTATTCAGAGGGAACACTTGGAGTTCATAACTTTCAGGAGGTAATGAACTCAATGAAAGGTAAACTAGCTTGGGCTTACCTATAGGGAACTTCTTTATAGGCACGGTTTATAACTTAATATGGCAATTATAAATCATTGAATGTAGAGGGGAATAGAGGCTCTATTGTTTGGAGAAAGCTATTGCTTCATATTCTACTTATCGTGGATAAATCGAGATGATTCATAGGGGAGGGAAGGATTTCTTTGGAAGTGTGGAAGCTAGGCATGTTAAGCCCTTATAAAGAGCTTACTGTAAAGGAGGTACTGTAGAATGAAGAAGTTCTGTCATCTCTCCCCACGTCAACCCAACTAGAGCTAAGGGTAATCACGTTAGCTCCAGATGAAGCAGATAAACTAGTCTACACGCATACAGACAGCAGCTTAACAAACCAGCTTCACATTTTAAGTGGTGGAAGCTATTCTGGAACACGTGGATTCCTCTTAAAATGGCTATCTTGACCTGAAAGATCATTAACAATGGAGTTCCTATTGATGGAAACATTCAACGATGTGGCATTCCTCAGCAGCTTCACACGTCAGATTCACATTTTGAGTGGTGGAAGCTATTTTGGAACGCTTGGATTCCTCTTAAAATGGCTATCTTGACCTGGAAGATCATTAACAATGGAGTTCCTATGGATGGAAACACTCAACGATGTGGCATTCCTCTTCCCTCCCAATGCCATTGTTGTAAACATCCGATATAAAGACAGTGGAGCATTTGTTTTTGCATGGAGAGACTACTGTAGTTGTTTGGAAGTTCTTTGGTCCTTTACTGAATGTCCTCGTGGTTTATAGTAGCCTACACTCTTTAATAGGCAAGTGGCTCGATGTAGTCAAGCTCACAAACCAAAAGCAATTCTTCAGGATGGTGGTACTTCATTGCACCTTTCGGGAATTGTGGAAAGCATGCAACAAAGCACCATTTGATGGGAAGGATATGTTGGCAGCATAAATCATCTTCAAAGTTAAGAGATGGATGGTAGCTATCCAAACTTTTTTCATGCCGCAAGCCACCCTTGGTTTTCAGGCTTCATGTATCTCTCTACTTTCTTTAACAGTTACAAAAGGAAAATGGATTGCTTGGTCTCCCCCTATGCAAATGCTAAAATTAAACTGTGATGGATCGACAAAGGAAGGAATGTGCACTGGAGGAGGTATGGTAAAGGACGAAAATGGTTAAATGATTACTGTATTCTCCATACACTAAAGAGACGGTTCTAATAATAAGTGAGAAATAAGTGCAGTAGTGGAAGGTCTTGAACTGTGTAGAAAATTTAACTTAACAATTTATTTTGTTGAGTTGGATTCAAAACTTGTGGTTGACGCTGTCAATGGAATATCTAGAGTGCCATGGTATTTAACATACTCATTACGACAATGCAAACAAATGATGGGGCGTGCTAAATTTATTCACACTTGCAGGGAAGGCAACTTCACTGCAGATAAACTAGCAGAGCAAAGCCTATGTACATGGTAATCAAGTTATTTACTACTCACTGGATACACTCTCTACTTCAGTTCATAGGGCATTCAAGGAAGACTACTATGGCTCAGCAAGGTTCAGGAATTAGCTATATACATTTATAGTACGATTTCCATTGCTATCTTTGTGTTATAGTGCAAAGTTTTACTAGGATTTTAAGGATCCCTTATTGTTTTTATTTCAGGGGCCTAAGCTTTCTTATCCTCCAATCATGTTCGGTTAGGCTGATTTGTCCCCCTTTGTATTTTTTCATATTTTCATTTATAAAATTTCAAGGTACCGTACTTTTTCCAAAAAAAAAAAAAAATAGAAGGAAAAATAATGCTAATGAATTTTTTTAAAAAAAAAAGCAATAAAGAATTTAGATTTTTTTTTAAAAAAAATAGATTAAAGATGGATAAAGCTACCCAATGATGCCTGATTTTAATATCCACCTCTTGAACCACACATTATTTTTCAATGTTAAAATAATAATTTAAACAGTTATCTTCATGTTTTTATAATTTTAAGTTATGAATTTCCTAACTTAAATGTGTATGGTTTGTCTTTAATCAAATTGTAAAGATGCACTTCCTCTTGATGCACAATTCAAATTTCAACATAAGAAATAATTATAAAAAAAATCTTCATAAATGAAAAACTGGTTCAAAAATACTATTACTCCCGGCCTCATAATCAGAAAATAAGACGAAAAAAGGCCTTTCTTCTTTGTTTATCTTATGACATACTCCTATCATCTAGTTGCCCCAAAAAACCCCTCCTGCGCATTGGGGTGGAGTATGACCATTACCATTTTTTTTTTTTTTTTGGGCCTATAGTTCTGGACTGAATGCTTTTTGTTTTCCCTCCCTCATTACACTGGGCTTCGTGCTGATGTATAAGTGGACATTTAGGGTTTAAGATCCTTTTCAACAAATTTCACTCGAACTTGATTTTGGCCATTCATATTAATCGGACTTATTTGGATTTAATGGTTTAAAAAATAAAAATAAAAAATAAAAGGTTTATAGTTTTTACACCCTTTAGAGTGAGCAGAAAAAAGTGAAATATGCACTGATGGGTCATGGAGAAAGATATTTAACGGGCTTGATGAAAGGAGGCTCAACTCTGTTGTGTGTGTTAGTTTTCTGGGGAGAGACACAAAAAATCAAATTTTACGAGATGGCTTATGGGCTTGATTTTCAGAATAGCCGTTTCTTTGGGCTTTTTAGGAAACCTAACTGGGTTAATCGTGCTCTACCTAATGCGTGTACTGTGTAGGATGGGCAAATGCAAGTGCAGAAACGTTGATACTCCAATTCCTTGAAAATTAGGATAAAATACAACATTAAGAAATTTTTTTTTCCCTCAATGTACATCATTTATTCACTATCAATAATTTTATAAAAATTAATTTATATAAATATTTATCTTAATATTAAACTATATCATTTAATTAGCATACACTTATATAGATATCAATTTTTATTTTTATTTGTATTTTTTTTTTTTTTGTGATTCTAACCATGATTTATAAATATGAAATTAATATAATTTTAGATGTCACTTAAACATCTTTTACATGTAACCTAGTGAGGTTTCCCAAAAAGAATTTGTGGCCTCAACTCATTCCTTTTTCAAGGATCACACCTCATAATATAAAGTAAAATATCAATGGTGTCATTTTACTTTTTTAAAGAAGTTTGCCAATAGGCTGTAGCTGTGAGGCGATCATTTACGTGTCATCATTTTAATTGATTTTTGGTGGTTCGTGTATGACCTAATCACTAACGAATTTTTAAACAAATTATTTTGGTGATATCAAATTATTTTCCTTTTGTATTTTGAAAAGATAATTATAAGACTTAGGAAGAGGTGTTGAGCTACCGAGTGATCTCAGTCCAAAGATCTCGAATCTCCACCTCCATGTGCCATTCATGCCGAAAGACCGCCCAATTTCCGACATATCCAGATACCCCAATTATTTAATTTGGATGAGTCGTGGGCTTTACATTTTTAATGGATTTTATTTACTCCCCATTTATTTATTATAATTGAATTTCATAAATGGTTAGCCGTCTGTTCTTTGCACTTGTAATCAGTCCCATACACTTTATGCGATAATTAGGCTACTCTTAAAGCTCCACTCAATACTTTCAAAGGAAAGATTCTACCAGTTTGCACTAATTATTCTTAGCCTGAGAGATTTTGTTTTTCTCCATATATACCTTGAATTAATTCCAAATATGGGAGAGAAACTTCACGTAGTGATGCTTCCATGGATTGCCTTTGGCCACATGATACCTTTCCTTCAGCTTTCTATTGATTTAGCCAAAGCGGGAATCAAAGTCTCCTTTGTTTCAACCCCAAGAAACATCAAAAGACTCCCAAAAATCCCTCCAAATTTAGCAGACTTAGTGAAATTTGTAGAGTTTCCATTACCAAGCTTAGACAACGATATCTTACCAGAAGATGGAGAGGCCACCGTTGACATTCCAGCCCAGAAAATTGATTATCTGAAGATTGCATTTGATCTCTTGCAACACCCCTTGAAGCAGTTCATCGCCGATCAACTTCCAGACTGGATAATAATTGATATGATTCCTTATTAGATGGTAGAGATTGCTAGAGAAAACAAAGTTCCTCTTATTCATTTCTCTGTTTTCTCTACTGCTACATATGTGTTTCTTGGATCCCCAGAGTACTTAGTTGGCGATGGTCAAAAAAGACTTCGGCCATCATGGATGAGTATGACATCAAAACCAGAGTGGGTTGACTTTCCCTCCTCAATATCTTATCGAAACCACAAGGCTGTTGGTGCTTTCAAAGGGATGTATGGAGGAAATGCTTCTGGGATCACAGATGGTGAAAGGGTTTCCAAGATACTCGATGGATGCCAAGCTTTTGCGGTACGCAGTTGCACCGAGTTCGAAGGAGACTACTTGACTTTATTTGAAAGGCTGATAGGAAGACCTGTGATTCCTGTAGGCTTGTTACCACCAGAGAAGCCAGAAAGAAGAGAAATCACTGATGGTAGGTGGGGTGAAATCTTCAAATGGCTTGATGATCAAAAGCCTAAGTCTGTTGTGTTTGTAGGCTTTGGTAGTGAGTATAAGCTAACCAAAGATCAAGTATATGAGATTGCTCATGGGCTAGAGTTATCTGGATTGCCATTTCTATGGGCATTAAGAAAACCCGGTTGGGCCAATGATGATCTTGATGCTTTGCCTTCAGGATATGGTGAAAGAACATCTGATAGAGGGATTGTTTTTATGGGATGGGCGCCGCAATTGGAAATTTTGGGTCACCCATCAATTGGGGGGTCATTATTTCACTCTGGGTGGGGTTCTATAATTGAAACTTTGCAGTTTGGTCATGCCCTAATTCTTTTACTATTCATCATTGACCAACCTTTGAATGCAAGGTATTTGGTTGAGAAGGGTTTAGGTGTGGAAATAGAAAGAGGTGAAGATGGGTCATTTACCCGGGAAGATGTTGCCAAGGCTCTGAAATTCTCAATGGTGTCTGAGGAAGGAAAAAGTTTGAGGGAGAAGGCAAGTGAAGCTGCTGCAATTTTTGGAAACCAGAAGTTGCATCAGGATTACTATTTTGGCAAATTTGTTGATTTTCTCAAAAACGAGAAAAGAAATGTCTGAAAGACATGGTCACAAAGCAGACTTGATCATTACCAATGATGGATCAAGATTTTATTTTGGTGCTGTCATGTTCTCAGGTATTCATAGATGGAATAAAAACATTTATTTGCCACCTAAAAATAACCAGGGGAATGGACATTATGCATCATCTGGTTGCCTTCCTAATTAGGAGTGAGTATTATTATCTTTAGATTTCTGGTTTGGATTCGACCGAAACCCCAAATACACATATATTTCTATTTCTGTGTAGAATAGATAAGTAAAAATAATGAATCAACTGTTACAGACACAGTAAGTCACTCCGCTCCCTACATAACACTCGCTTGCTTTGCCTCTCGGTCATCTTCTCTAGTCATCATTCGCACTTTTTTTCCCTCTTTTCTTAAGAGACTCCGTTTATCACGCAACTATTCAACTTTTGGCAAACTAACCATATTTTGTTTGCTAATCTTCATGAGTCTATCCTTTTCCTTTGATCAAGTCTCTTCCATTTTTGTTTCTATTCAGTTTGATCTAGAAAATTTCCCTTCACCCTAACAAAATCTCGTCTCTTTATTAACCAACTCAGCTCATCTATACACAGTAACCCCCACCATTCCACAACCACCAACAGCCCCAACAGTAGCCGCCGCAAACGCCCAGCTTTAGTTCAACGCCTGTTTTTTTCTTTTTTCGTTTTCTTTTTTTATGTCGAAATTCAACTCTTTAATTATTGTTTTTCTGTTTTGTTTTGGGGTTGATTGCTAATTGAATTGTGTTATTGTGGTTTAGTTATGTGATGTTAATTGATTTGGAAATCATTTTGGTGTTATTTTGAAGAGTAATCCAACTAGTGTTGAGTTTAATGCACATTGGGCCGTTGAGATTTCCCAAGAGTGTCATCTCTCGCTGCTGCACTTTCCTGTTTTCAATGTTACAGAAAATGTTTTCATTGGACAAAGAATATCTTGTCAGAGAAGGTCAACAGAGGAGTAGGTCATCGCCAAAAAGTATAAAGATGCCATCAGACTACAAAGTGGGTTGACTTTTCCATCTTTGGTAGCTCTGGGAACTTATGAGTCAATAGGCATACATGCTGGCTTCCACAGCGAGAATGCTTCCAGTACAACTGATGCTGCAAGGTTAGCCAAGGTTCTTGATTCCTGTCAAGCAGTGACTATCTGTATTTTCCTGGAAATTCGAAGATGAGTACCTGAATTTGTTCGCAAAGCTTATTAGAAGCCAGTGATTCCTGCAGGTCTACTTCCACCAGAGAAACCTGCAGGAGTCAGAGAAATCGCTGATGGGCCATGGAGTCAAAATATCAAACCTTTAAGTAACTTGATGAATAAAAGCCAAGTCAGAAGTGTTTGTGGGATTGGCAGCTGGTGCAAGCTAATAAAAGATTAGATACATGAGATTGCAGATGGCTTAGAGCTGGCTATCTGAACTTCCGTTGCTATGGGCAGTATGGATTAAGGAAAGTTAGCTGGGCCATTGATGATCTTGATGTACAGTTTTTATCAACTGGATACCTAAGAGAGGAAATGAGAATATGAGATGAGCACCAGTTGGAAATTCTAAGTTTTCTGTTTCACTCAGGGTGGTTTTCTGTGTTTGAAACACTCAAATTTGGGCATTGCCTTTTTGTCTAGTCATTCATCATTAATCAAACATTCAATGCAAGGCTATTTTTAGAGAAGGGTTTGGCAATTGAAGTTAAAATAAGCAAAGGTGGTTCATTTAGTCAGGTATCCGATTACCTTAGACAGGCAATGATAGGACAAGAAAAGGCTGCACCAAGTTCACTACGTTGCTGAACTTGTCCAGTTGTCCGTGGATTAATCAATTTTATTTGATAATAAAGTTTGCATGTAACCTTCAGGCTAAATGGCTCCATGCTAGTCCAGCGGCTAATTGGCTTGGGTAGGATATGCTACGTAAGGTGTATCTGAAAAATCAGAAGCTACACCAAGAATATGCTCGCGAGTATGTCAAATATCTGAAAAATCGGGCTATATCTTTCAAAATCAGATTATCCTACTCTTCTGTTTTACCATTAAGCAGTTAGGGGGTGCCTAGCTGGTTTCGACAAAAACCTAGAATAATTTCCTTCTCATTAGGGCAGCTTGCAATCTGCATTTAGGCTTATCAATGTTGCCATTCTCTAGAAATAGTTGAAGGCCTTTATCAGACAAGTCTAAAACGAGCTGAATTAGCAACATAATCAACCGGTCAATAGAATCAATTGTCTTGCATGAACCAAGACTATAAGACACTTATGTTGAATTGGCCAAATGTGAAAGCTGCTTTGCTCTTAACTAGACTTCCTTGGCCATAAAGACTAGTTTCTCAATCTTAAGTTTCCAACCCAGGTTGCAAGCTATAGCAAGAGAGTTCAAAAGAAATCCACCATTAAGGGGAAAAATAAAGAAAAAGTTACCTAGCAAGAACACGCTCAGGGCAATAATAAGTTACGAGTTGAAGGGGAAATCTCGTCAGAAAGAATCACTTTGCAAACACCAGCCTCTCCCAAAATTTGGCCCTTCGTCTAATTCCTCATATTAAATTATATATTTATATATGAATTTGTATGTATATATAATAGACCAGGATTTTCAGCTGTTGAAACTAGTGACACTCACTGACGGCCAAACTGCACTTGCATCAGCAAAGACGCCCGCAAATCAGAGAGGTTGAATTGGTCATAACTAGAAAAATCTCACCAAAAGCTGGAAGAATCTGAGAATAATCTATCCTGATTTTGGTATTAAACTACTAGATTGTCCAAAAAAATTGACATGGAGGGCATTGACTTTTGAAGATGGGAGCAAACATAAAATTGACACCAATAATTCTAAAACCAATGCAAAAACAAAGCACTGTTTTTGAATTCGATAAGTGGACAACTTCCTTTCAATTATTTATACATTTGTGGTACTCTCAGAACCAGGATTGACCTTTTACTAGATCCCTACAAATCATTTCGGTATTCAGACTTAGTTATGGCAAGTGATTTGCATGTGGTTGTAGCTTTCGGAAGCTACGAGGCAAGAAACATCTATCCTGGCATATTTGGGGAGAATGCCTCAGGAATAAGAGATGCTGAACGAGCAGCAAAGACTTTTAAGTGGATGTCAAGCTATAACTGAGAGTAGCTGCTTTGAATTAGAAGGTGAGTACATGAATATATATCAGAAAATTATGAGTAAGCCAGTAATTCCTATAGGTTTGCTCCTTCTAGAGAAAAGAAATAACTGAAGGAGCATGGAAAACGATCTTGAAATGGCTTGACAATCAAGAACACAAATCAGTAGTATTTGTTGGCTTTGGTAGTGAGCGTAAATTGACCAAAGATCAAGTTTATGAGATAGCATATGGGCTGGAGCTATCAGAATTGACATTTCTATGGGCTCTGAGGAAACCCAGTTGGGCAACAACAGATCTTGATGTTCTACCCCCAGGATTCAATAACAGGACATGAGAGAAAGGGATTGTCTCCATAGGATGGGCACCACAATTAGAACTTCTAGCGCATCCATCAATAGCTGGATCATTGTTTCACTCCGGGTGGGGTTCTGTGGTAGAAACTCTGCAGCATTGACATGGTTTAATTGTTTTGTCATTTGTCGCAGATTAAGGACTAAATGCGAGATTAATGATGGGGAAGGGCTTGGCTGTTGATGTAGACAGGAAGGATGATGGATCTTGTGCCAGACATGATATTGCCAAGTCTCTGAGACTAGCAATGGTTTCAAAGGAAGGAAGTCAACTAAAGGCTCGAGCAATAGAAGCCGCTACCATATTCCCGAATAGGAAGCTGCATCAGTACTACATCAATATGTTTGTGAAAGATCTGAAGGTTGGAGTTTCTTGAAACTGTCAAGACGTTCCAGATTGTCCGATCTGTCACTGTCTTTCTCCACATTTTATGTGAGCAAGCTGTCCTAGTTAAGAACATTCTACATTGTATTCAATAAGCATGTAGTGATTCATGATTTAGAACAATGAATTAGTCAAATAGCAGTTCATTCGATTCGATATGCATTCAACAGGTTCACACCTTCATCGTATTTCGAAGTTATAAGGGCCTGAAAATTGCAGCCATCCCCAGGACGTGAAGTAGTAAGTAATCTACACAAGCCATCTCTCTCTTTTTATTTTTCGCTCTCTTTTAGGGGAAAAAAAGACGCTGCCGGTTTCTCACGGGCAGCAACTCTTCATCTCCTTTTTTTTTTTTTTTTTTTCAGTATGTTAACAATTAAGATCTAGATTAGTTTTTTTATTTCAGTTTGATAGTTTCTTTTATAGTGTAAATTTATAAAAAAATATGAAATCAAAAGTGAAAAAAATTATTTATAATTTTTTAATAAAAAATTTCGTATTTAACTATTTCTTATTTGTATTTTTCATAATTTTTCTTATAGGAAAAGGATTTATCCTTGTTAATCCATGGATTATTAACTAAAAAGCAAATTAAACAATTTTTAAAAAAAGCTTTAGTATTTCATAAGATTGCATCGAAATCCATAAATAACAATTATTAAAAGCTTACATAAAATTAAATAAATAATTTTTTTATTTAATACTGATTAGAAAATCGATTTTTGAAAAAATATGAATTTAATTTTTTATATTTATTTATAAAAGAATGAATAATATTAAAATAAAAAACTATATTAATCCGAATCATTAAGTGGTTAAGCCAAAAAATTATTTTAATTAAAATAAGTAATTTAAAATATTCAAAAACAAACAAATAAATAGTAAATGCTTAGTGTAGTAGTAGTTGCATAGTTAATTTCTTAAAAAAAAAAAAAAGATTCAATATTTTTTTATAAATTATGATTATACTAAGTGAGTTCAAAGTTTAAAACAAAAAATACTAAAAAAAAAAAAAAAAGTTAACTAGCAAGGAATCTATTGACTAAATTTGAAGTTAATAGACTAAAATAAAAATTATTACAAATTTGATTTCGATTAATTTAGATTATATAAAGAAGAAACAAATTAATTAAACATGTGAATTCTTTTTTCCCCCTCCTTCTTAAATATTTTTTTATTTCTCTCCTATGCATGGCTAGTCTTTGCATACGAGTCTTACGTGGAGAGCAACCATCTATTTTTTATTTTTTATATTTGACTTTCAACTCGTTAATTAATTAATTTAAGTTTTTTTCTAAAAAATCAAAAAAAATTATTTGAAATACATTTTTAATCTAAAAATATAGTTTAGACAAATTAATTAATTATATATCATGCCATTATAATTTAAACGTTTTCTAAATCTATTTTTTTAAAAAAAATAATCATTTTCTAAAAATTTATTCCAAAATCCATACATATAGAAAAATAAATCAAAACTATCGATAAATATAATTTTAAATTAATTGGATGAGAATTTTGAAAAAATAACAAATTAAAGTACTAAATTTTAAATAATAAAAATAATCAACAAAAAACACTCAAACAAAATGGAACCAATTGACAATATAATCAAAGTTTGAAATTAAAAAAGAGAGAGAGAGAGATTTTTTTTTAAAAAAATGACAAATTAATGTAATAAATTTTAAATAATAAATAAACAGAGAAAAAATTATTTGAAAAACACTTTTAATCTAAAAATGTATTCGGACAAATTATATATATTAATCATGCCACTATAATTTAAAAATTATCCAAATCTAGTTTTCAAAAAAAAAATAGTAACAAATGTTCTAAAAATTTGTTTCAAGATCCATACATATAGAAAAATAAATAAAAAATGTCAGTAAATATAATTTTAAATTAATTGAATGAGAATTTTTTTAAAAATGACAAATTAAAGCGAGTAAATTTTAAATAATAAAAATAATTAACTAAAAAATACTAAAACAAAATGGGACGAAGTCACAATATAATCAAAGTTCGAAATTGAAGAAAAAAGGTTAATTTAAAAAAAAGATAAATTAATATAGTAAATTTTAAATACTATAAAAATCCAAGAAAAAATTATTTGAAATGTACTTTTAATATAAAAATGTATTTTAGACAAATTATATCTATAAATCATGGCACTATAATTTTAAAATTATCTATATCTATTTTTCAAAAGAAAAAGTAATCATGTTCTAAAAATTATTCCAAAATCGATGCATACGGAAAAATAAATCAAAATTATCAGCAAATATAATTTTAAATTAATTGGATGGGAATTTTAAAAAAAAAGTTAAAGTAGTAAATTTTAAATAATAAAAATAATTAAAAAAAACTAAAAAAAATGGGACCAAATCACTTAAAAATACAGCAAGAGAGAAAAAATTAATTTATTATAGGAAAAAAGTTAAATATAATAAAATTTTAATAAATAAAATTAGAAAAAGTTACAAAATAGGGACTAAATGTAAAATTATTAAAAGCCAAAAAAGGGCTTAAAGCAATGAGAGAGAGAGAGAGAGGCTACATCAACCAAACCACAAAAAAAAAAAAGTTAACTAAAATTTTAATAACAAAAATAAAAAAGTTGCAAAATAAGGACTAAAATAAAAATATAATTAACTAAAAACCAAAAAAGAGACTTAAAAATCCAGCAAGAGGGAAATTTTTTATTTATTATAGGAAAAAAATCAAATATAATAAAATTTTAATGATTAAAATTAGAGAATGTTACAAAACAGGGATTAAAATATAAAATTATTAAAAGCTAAAAAGGGCTTAAAGCAGCAAAGAGGAGAGAGAGGGAGAGAGAGAGAGAGAAGGTCGGCAGCATAAATTATTTTTAAAAAAATCGAAAGAGGACTTTAAGCAGAAAAAGAGAGGGGGATCAAAAAAATATATGAACAGTGAATGAATAGCCTAAAAATAGTAATTTACTATTGAAAAAGGACATATCTTTTAGTTTATTAGTAATTTGAAATTCATATTTAATTTGCGCACAAAGTTCCTACTTTGTCAGGATATTTTGTGAGGCTTTGATATTATTTTATCTATTGTAGCGAGCGTTTCTTGTTGGTAGAAAGAAATTGATGTTGTTTTCTAATTTTAGAGGATTGAGATTTTCTGTAAAAAAAAAAAAAAAAAAAAACCTAGTTTACGTGTAAGCAAGGACCAATTTTTTTTCAAAAGAAGGCCAAATAGTGCAAGTCTTTTGGGCCGAATTGTTTTGCTTATGTTTGATCCAAAATTTTAATTTGTTTTAGTTATTTTTTTTTAATGTTATTTAGTTTACTTACTTTTGATTTAAGTCACTTTTTTTATGTGATTTACCTTGTTTAGTTTAGTACTTTTATTTTCATAAGAATGTTAGAAATCTATATTTGTTTAGAATTGGAAAAGAGTTAATAAGTCCTTTCGAATGTGAATTGGACTTAATGTTTTTTTTTTTTGGAATTAGGCTAAAAATTTTATAGTTCAAATTGGACAAGGTTTCTTTAGTTTTAGAAGAATTATTGAGTCATTATTTAAGGTATTTTAGACCATGTAAAGAAACACGTTTTGATGAATAAAAAATGATTTAATTGCATCAAACATCTCTCTATTTTTTACATTTTCTTAATGTGACTCTTCTATTTTTTTTATTAGCCCCTCTCTCGTAGTCTTTAATTTTTTTTTTAATATGGCCCCTCCAATTGTTTTTCGATCAAAACTGATAGCTGGAATTAAATAATCCACATGGTATGATACGTCATATTTTTTTTGCCACAGTGAAAAAAATAAATATTTTTTTCTCCCTCTCCCTCTCCCTCTCTCTCTTTCTCTCCTCTATTTCCATTTAGACTAGCAAACAACATAACTAACAACTTAATCAACTCTTAATTCTTTTCTTCCTCCTAGAGCTGTATTTTTTTTTTAACATAGAGAGTGATTGTTGTTTTTTTTAATTCTTTTAATGATTCTAGTTCGAAGTCATTTTCAGTATATAGATTATACTAGCCCAATACCCGCACATTGCCGCGAGTAAGTCTATTATATCCATGTTTTAATCTTTTCAATAATTTAAAAAATATAAATGTGAAATAAAAATTAATTAACACTCATTGTAAAAAAAATATTTTGTATATATATATAATTGAATTTAAATATATCTTAGGAATATTTTTTATTTTGATAAATAAAAAATACATGCAATTAATTATTTATTTTCAAAAAATCAAATTAGAAGGAGGTGCTTAATCAATTTATATTAGAAGAATATTTAATTTTAGTTAATGAATATTTATAAAAATAGAAAAAGTAACCATTAATTATGGAAAAAAATTATTTTGATAAAATAATTATTAATGAAAAAAATAACCCGAGTCCCGCAAAAAACATTCTCGGCCAATCTTGATTGACCAATACCACCCACACCACCCAAATTAACATGAGGGTTTTCGGTTTGTAAAGGCTTGCTACAGGATCGGACTCCTTCTAGTAGTTCTTATTTCATTAATTATCACCAAGACACTATATGACAATAGATGAACTCAACAAATAATGATAAGGTATTAAAAGATTTAGCAAAAGAAAAAAAATTGAGTAACAATAATTAAGTATAACTAATAAATTAGGCACCGAAGTGAGAAAAATGCATAATTGACAAAGCAAAGGAAAAGTCAAAACTCGTAAAGAAAATTGAAGGCATACCTAGGATGAGAGCTCTAAAAAAAAAAAGAAGCCACAAAATTGTTGGAGAGAAACGAGATAAATAACAACCCCGTGCAAAAAAAGCACTCATCATTGTCTAAACCAAGTAATCTACATAATGTATCAAAAGAGGAAAAATATTTTAAAGAGAAAAAAAGGAAATACGGACCTAGAAAGCAAAGTGGTACGAAATACCGGTCTAATACTCTAATTCCGCAAGAACAAAACTTTAAACGAAATAGGATCGGCTAGATTTTGTAAAACACATTTTAAAAACCTAATATAACAATGACCAAGCATGAGAAGAGCATTAGAAAAAGAAAAAATAAAGATAGAAAAACACAAAAAGATTCTCGTCAACAACAAATTTGAGGAAAAATAATTTAATATAAAGACAAGATCTTAAACACTTTTCATGAGCATTCAAACAACCTATATAGAGCAACATAGAAAAAATAAAGAAACTAAAAAAAAGCAAAAAAATATGAATATCCACCTCTAAAGAGTGAACCAAAGACTTGCGAAGCAAAACAAATGAAAAAGCGAAGAAAGAAACTTAATACCTAGATTATATGTATCTTTTATTTGAAAAATGAAAAAAAAAAGATATAAAAGAAAGAGGAAAAATTAGAAAATAAGAATTAGGTACGAGTAGATAACTCAAACAAACCCCACTAACATGATCGACGAAAAAAAACTTGTGGACTAAATAAAATATAAAATATAATATTTTGCACAAATCACATAGTTGAGAACCAACAAGTATCACTAAAGAGTCAAATATTGAATAGCTAAAAATATTCTTAAAAAATGGGTCAAATGAGAAATTGAAAAGAAACTAAATGAGAAACACTTATCTCTAATTGTCATCCAAAATCTATTTGAAGCCCAATGAAGCACATTACTCCAAGCAGAAATTAATAACAAGCAAACAAAGAATTTGATTGAGATATAACCCTATATTAAGAATAAAAGAATAAGTTATATAAAAAAAGTATTTGATGAAAAATCCGATAAGACAAGTAATCATTAACTTAACTTTTGACCTCACAACCGTTAACCCATAACATAAACAATCTTTAAAAAGTCATACACACTACATCAGGATTAACCATGATTGAAGGATTAATCTGTCATTAAACAAAGTCCATGATGCCAAAAAAAGGGCTTAGCTACAGTAAAATATTATTCTCTTTTAGTATATTTTAGTATATGTTATAATAGGACCATATTTAAATGAACCTTACCAATCTATACCTAGGTTCAATTTTTGATGGTTTAGGCAGACGTTCATGTAATCCTCCAGAAACGCAATCCTACAGTGACTTCCTCTAGGATGGCAGACTAGCATACATAAATGCATGCCTTTTGGACAAAGATACGGCAGGTGCTCCATTGTGCATAACACTCGGATAAATTAAATACCCATTTTATTAATCAAACTTCAAAATCACCATTCCCTCCATGAATTTTTAGTGATATATATATATATATATATTATCCCAGTTGTTCAACACTAGTAAAGTAGACTTCCCACGTGCATTTGCACCTAAAAGTAAAATTCGATCATAACGAGTCCCCCAACCCCCAGATGCACATTAAAAAATCTGAAGTACCTTCAGATTGGCTAAATTACATTACGTAGACTGAGATGGGGATAATCCTGGAATCCTCATGAGATATTTCACAAGAGAGATGCGTTTCAGTAAATTATATAAAACATTTAAGAATATAGCCAATGGTTTCGATTGGTCATCACATGGAGGCAGGTTCATTACTGTCAAACTAAACCATATCCAACGAACACAGCTTTGAACAGTGAACCTGGCATAAAAAAAGCCGAAATGCTTGCTCAATTCAGAAACCAAGAGCTGATAGGATCATAAGAGTCCATAGCTTTACAGACCATATTTTGCAATAGCAACTGGGCTATAAGGCAATGCGACAATAAAATTTTGTTTTTTGTTTCAGATGATCCAAGCAACAATCATATTGGAGGAGATGATTAAGACAGATTATTTAAGGAATGAGTGGTGGAACTGGTCATCATTTTCTGCTGCTGCCAAGACTTCGACAGTTGCTTCTCTTGCTCTACGTATATATTCCCTTGATGGTGCGATTGTGTATGAGAAGACCATGCCCAAGTTAGATTCAACCAACAGTTTGAAGCCTGTGGGTATACTGGACAAGAAGTCGGTGCCTGATTTGGAAGCGGGAAGTCTAACAAGATCAGAAAGGAACTAGATAGTTGATCAAGGCTTCCAGGATTCCTAAATTTACGAGGGAATCTAACCAGGCTTGTAATTCCTACCCCAGCTTGTCTTTCCAAAGAATTCCTTGCTCATGCATGGATTTGGATTCCATGTTGCTTCAGATTAGTTGCCTGCCAAAAAGTCAAATTTAATTTGAGACTCCATTGAACTTTCTAATGACATCGTTTAGGATTGCAAATCCTAGATTTTGTTTTTGTTTACGGGTTAATGGCATCCATTGGAAAGCTGCTTCGATACCAACTATAAAACCTTAGGAGAGAGACAAGGAAGAGAAAAATCTGATGATATTATGTTCACAGAATTGTTCTGGGTTAATAGAAATAGAAGGGAGAGAGATAGAGGAGAGAGAGGGGGAGAGGTAGGCGAAAAAAAATAAAATTATTTTTTTTTATTTTTTTCATGTGGTAAAAAAATATGACGTATCACGTGAATTATTTTATCTCAGCTGTCAGTTTTAATTGAAAAATTAGTCAAAAAAAAAAAAAAGTTGAAGAGGTCATATTAAGAAAAATTAAAAAATATAAAAAAGAGTTGACTAAAAAAAGTACAAGGGCACATTAAGAAAATGTCAAAAATAAAAAAGATATTTGATGCTATTAAACCAATTAAAATTTTAAAGAAAGTTTCTTTCAATTTATCTTGTGTATTTTTGTATTTTTACTTACAGTTTGTGTACGTTATCATTGTGTTTGCTTAGAATTTTGTGATTATTGTACTTATGAACTTGATCACTTAAAGTTGTTCTTATTTTGATCAACAAATTAGCTTAGATTGTGGTGAGATTTTGAATCTCGCCAAAATCAATCTAAACTAGGGTTTTCGATGTTTGGAAAGTCTTGGCCTTGTGTAATTTATAGGGTCGGAATTTAGGGATTCATCAACAAATGTGAGTTTGAGGCTTCAATTTCTTGATCCTTGGAGGGATAATTTCGGCCAGCAATACAAAAAGGTTGGAGTATTCGGTTTGGCCAAAATACAAAACCATTGGTAGTGTAGCTTGTTCTCCCGTTTATTTATGGTAGTGGGAAGCTCAATTGTGTGTGATGTGCAAAAACAATTCATTTTGAGCCATCCTCATTGGCCAATTTCAATGGACTTTTGTTAACATTGATGGAAAAACTATTTGTTATTTGAAAGATCATTATTACTCGTTATTATAGAAAAGATTGTCTTATTTCTTCAACGTAACAAACTAACAAGTTGCAATTCTCTCTCATTGTTGCAGCCCGTTTAAAAAAACCTATTTTAATTTAATTTGAAGATAATTAAAGTAATAATTTTGGTGGCTTGTTTTGGGAATAAATTCTTCCTTGGATTATGAGAAGGATTTAGAGTTAAAAAAAAATTAATTTAAGAAAACCTCTTCCTAGTTCCTTCTAAATTATTGGAATAAAATTCTTGATATCTTTTATAATTGAGAAGTTTTTCTATGTGCCCTAGAAAAATTGCATATCTTACATTTATTAAAAATACGCTACACTGCGGTCATATGGTCTAGGCCATTTACTAACATGTTAAAAGCATATTATTAATTGTTCTTAGCAAATCATAAGACCATTTGTGCTAAAAACAAATTGTCAAAAACTTCTTTTTTTCATTTGTTTTCTTATCATTTGATGAGTAAAGATTATTTTTTTAATGAATATTAGATTGATAAACTACTAATTGTTGAATCTTAAAAACTAATTCTATCTAATTACACAAAAAAAAAAAAGGAAAGAAAATATTTGTTTAATTTTCTAAACATTAACAATTTAGAAAACCATGAAAAATAAAAAACATGTAGATAAATTCATACTTTCTTTTTAAGTCCTTCAAAAAAAAAATTTAGAAGCATTCCAACTTATTTTTATTTTTCACCATTAGCTGTGTAACCCTAAAATTAAATAAAAATTATATCCAGTTAAAGTTAGACTGTCCATTATTTTAATATTTGGACCACCTTCTTAATTAAGCTGCTTTTTGTTTATCTGTTTGGACCCTTTTATTCTTGAGCTACCTATTCTACATCAATTTAACAATAGTCTATAGATTGTTTGGATCCAGAATAAAAGACTCCTTCAAATTTTGATTACATTTTAAGTTTGGCAATACAGCTATGCTTTTGCCACACGCTTACCTAATCTCACACGTACGCCATGCATGTATATTAGAAAACATGCCATATAACACGTCTTTTATGTTTTGCAAAACATCTCATTTGCGTGTGTGATTTGGAAGAAAATTTATATTTTGAAAAATCATAGTTAGGGAAGTTCAGATAATTCTATTTGTCGTCCAGGAAATGACTAGATACTGGTTGGACGACCACAATTTACCACCACTGTTAAAGGTTTTTACAAATCTATCTTATTGTAACAGATGTAAAGAGATTAATTTGCTTTTCAATTCGATATTAATAAAATTATTGTCCAACGAAAAAAATGTTTATAAAACAATAAATAAATGTAAAATATTTCCTAACAAAAAATTATCCATTTCCTAATTTAAAACCTTAGAAGTGTATCTCATTTTTCACATATATAAAACCCTTTTAAAGAAGATATCACACGCCTGGCCATATGGACTTCCCCAAAAACTTCAAAAATAATTAAAATCTCCTCTTGCTTTTAGTTTTTTATTTCCGCTTGTTTTTTTCAAGTCTTTTCTTTTCAAGTTAAGAACTTGATTTTTTTATATATATATATATATAGTAAAAGATAGGCATATCATTAATGATATAAACCATACATTATTATCTTTGTGACACAATGATACTAAAAAACTAAAAAACTAAAAAGAGAATTGCAATTTGTTACATTAAAAAAAAAATTAGACAAAACACTTTGAAAATAATGATGAATAATGATCTTTTAAATAACAAATAATCTCTTCATAGACGTTTATAAAAATTCATTGGAACTTCTCAAAGAAGACTACCCAAACAAAGACTTTTTTTTTATATCGCACACATAATTAGTTTTAACACCACTATAAATCAACAAAAGAACAAATCACACTATTAGATCTTATTAGACCTTATTGATGAAAAATCTCAATTTTTCATCAATAAGGCATAATCACATCGATCCCTTTCAACAAACAAAATACTTCTATCACAATTCAAGAAAGAGACATCAAAGACTTATGCTTAGGACAAGACATCCTAACAAAATAAAAAGTTTGTGCATATATTAAATCTAGATCCAAATTGTCAATACATTAAAATAAAAACAAAACAAAAAAAGGAACTAGTAAGATGAAGAGATGTTGCCGGCGAGAAAATTATTAGCAATGGCTAGAGAGTGTTTTTTTTTTACCTAAAAAAATCAAGAAGAAGGATAGAAAATGTAGATTTTTTATTTTTTTCCCTAAACAACTAGTTTATAAGTATGTAGAAAAATAAACTTCATCTCAAAATTATCACCACAAGATACGTATCAACTACAAACTTAAGTAACGAATCTAAACATTCTATATTTTTTCTTTAAAAAAATACATTTAGCTCAAATTTATTGTTTTTTTTATCCACAAGGTATTTCAAGTTCAAAAGTTTAGACTAATTCCTCGATGTTGGGTCGAATATATAAAATAAGTACGGTTATCTAATAAGTTTTTTTTTGTATACAAGGACTCGATTAGAGCTTATTCTCGCTCAAACCAATCCTCTTGAGTAATTTATTATCGATTTAAATATGATATTTTTGTTAATTATATGAGTTTATTGTTTTTATACTAATTTAAATTACTAGTGTGGATTAAAATATATGTTTGACAACTTGGAGTTCAAGTTTTTTATTTTATTATCATTCATATTATTTATTTCACAACATAAAATGACTAGTGGATTATGTTAGAAAATGTTCTACATATGCCATACATAAAAAAGATTGTGCAGTGTGTTTCGGCAAAATAGCATAACAACGTGGTATCATGAGCTTAGGCAAAATAAATTTTGGTTCATGCTTGATGAATCCAACTCATATTGACCAAGAGGATGGTCTCTTATGGAAGGATGGTTATAGTGGGAGATTGGTCCCCCGAAAAAAAAAAAAAAAAAAAAGGTTTTCTTAGGGAGGATGGTCCCTTGATCAGCTACTTGTGTAGTTCTTATGGGAGGATGATCTCCTACGGAAGGGTGTTCTATCGGAGGTGGATGGTCCTTGGCTCCTTTGGGAACAAAAGGGTCTTATTCCAAATATTTATTCTCTTTCCAAATTTGGGCACAATTAATGAGAGCTGTATATGTGATGCCAAACGAATTAATGTCATAGCATCTTAACCACCCTAACTTTATTTTTATTTTTTATAATCTCAAGGACTGTTTGACATCGCTTTCATTTCCTTTTTTTTTTTTAATTTTAAAAAAATAAAACATGAAAATTTGTTTGTTTTTACAAGTTTTTATTTTTAGGTAAATAGATTAATATGTCTTTATATAATATTCAAAATCTCTAATTTGTCTCTATATTTTCAATTACATCTCATCTATTCTAGAAAATTTTTAAAATGTTCAATATATTCTTCGATCAATTATTCAAACTACGGACAAATATTTTGATAAAAATACCCTTTATTAACATGCAAAAAAAAATCACTTAAAGTCACTTTACTTGTATGTTTCATTTTTTAAATCTTTAATTTTTTTCTTTTTTATTTTAATTAGAGACATATTGGTGAAAAAAAAATGATCCAAATGACAGATTTAACATTGCAAAAAAAAATTAAAAATAAATAAAAGACTTTGAGTATTATATAAGAAAAAATTGATGTAATTACCTTACATATAAAAGTTACCTTATATATAGTTACCTTATATATAATTGACAACAAGTTTTGAAAAAAAAAAAATGGTTTCAAAACTAGTCAGGTCAGATTTGAAAGTTCAGAAATGGACATGGAACAGGTTAGGAGTTCGAACCAGAACCTGGTTCAAAGAGTTTGGGATTCAAGTCTGGACCTAGTCTGGGCACTTGGAACTCGAGCTAAGACCATGTCCAGAACACCATAGATTTGAGTTGGGACGTAGTTCGAGGCATAGTTCCAAGGCGATCAAAAATTGGTCTAGGACCTAGTTTCGGGTACCCGAGAGTTGGTCCGGGACCAAGTCCAAGAGACTGGAGGTTTGAGTCAGGACTTATGTGGAGCTACAAGACACCTATAGTTCGATGCACTTAAAGTTCAAGTTGAGACCGGATCCATGGGCCATGGCACCCAGAGGACGGTCCGGGACCAAGTCTAGAGCGTTCAGAGAAAGATTCGGGTTGAGGCTAGACAATGAATCTAAACATTCTATATTTTGTTTATTTTTTATAAAAGACATTTTGCTCAAATTTATTATCTATTTTAAATATGATTTTTTTTGCTAATTATATGAGTTTGATTTTTTTATATAATTTAAATTAATAGTGTGAATTAAAATATATGGCTGGCAACTTGGAGTTTTTAGTTTTTTAGTTATTATTGTTCTTATTATTTATTTCACAAGATAAAGTGAGTAGTTGATCATGTTAAAAAAATATATATATAGCTATGTCATACTTATAAAAAGATGCAATGTGTTGCAGTAAAAACAGCATAATAACATGATATCATGAGCACAATGTAAAACAATTTTTGAATCGAGTCTTGACAATCTAACTCATATTGATCAAAAGGATGATCTCTTCTAAAAGGATGATCATTGAAAAAGAATGATCCTTCGAAAGAAATTGTTTTTTTTTTTTTTTGTAGAGGATGGTCCCTCGAGCTGGTTGTATAATTCTTGTGGGATGATGGTCTCCTGCGAAAGAAGGTTCCATAAGAGGTGAATGGTCCTTGCCTCCTTGTGGGATGAGGAGTGTCTTATTCCAAATCATTCCTATACTGTTAAAATGTCTAAATTTGAACACAATTAAAGAGAGCAATATATATGATGAGAAATTTTATAATACTGAATGAGTAATTAATGTAAGTTACTCCATATAGAGATATAGACACAAAACGGAGAGAGAAATAAGAGAGAGAACATTAAAATAAAAAATTGAGTCAAAGAGAAAATCTTCTTATTACTTTTAATAGGTCCGAATATGATTTTCTTTTTTATCTATCCTTTTCTTAAAAAGTGGACCATGAAGTAACTTACACTAGTTACTCCTTGAGTATTATAAAATTTCTCTATATATGATGCCAAACAAATTAAATACCATAGCATCGTAGCCATTCTACCTTTTTTCATAAATATCGTTTTCATTTTTTGTTTTATGCTTTTATTTTAAAAATTTTGAAAATAAAATATGAAAACTTATTTGCTTTCATTTTTTGTTTTGAAAAATATAAAATTGATAACAAGTTTTGAAAATAAATAAATAAATAAATGTGATTTTTAAAACTAATTTTTTAGGAACGCAAGATTCAGATCAGGACTTAGCTAGGGCACTTGAAATTCTAGCCAAATCCAGGTTGGGACACTTTAGGTTTGAATGGGGATTTAGTATGAAGCGTTTGAGATTCTATTTAAAACTGGGTTTAAGGCAATTGAAAGTCAATCTAGGACCTAGTTCTTACTATAGTAGACAAAGCAATATCAATTTATGTCATTATGGGTTGAAACGCCGTTGTTTTACAAATAATAATAATAAGTGATTTTATAAACATTGTATGCTTTTTTTACACTTTGGTCCTTCATATTCTATTTTGTACAAAACAATTCTTAAACTTAATTCATGTCACAACAAGGTCCTTATGTTTTTTTTTTTTTTTTTTTTTTTTGTGCTTTCAGTCTAGACGCTTGGGTCCAATTGTCTTGGACCCATTCAAAGGGGCCTCCTTTTTTCTCTTTTCTTTTCTCATGCTTTTATTGTAATATTACACAAAATGGTCCCTAAACTTACTTTGTGTTACAACAAAGTTTTAGTATTTTTTTTACGGCTGTACTTTGCTTTTTTTTTTCTTATAGACTCATTAACTAAAATGAAATAGTTTTCTAATATAATTTAGTTACTCTTTTAATATAAATTGATTTAGCACACTTTTCTAATTTGTTTTAAAAATAAATAATTAATTAATTGCATGTTTTTATTATTATTTATTAAAATCAAACATATTCATACGATATATTTAAACTCAATTATAGAATATAAATATTTTATTAAATATTACATAATACAAATTAAATTAAACAAATTCTCATAATTGATGTTAATTAATTATTATTTTACACCTCGATTTTTAAAAATTATTTAAGATATTAAAACATATTATATAAACTTACATGCAGTAACTATACTAGTAATAGCCTAAAAAGAAAAGCTATTTGTATAAACACACCAAAGCCATACAAACCTTATATCTTCATGACATCAAGTGTATATTAATAAACAGAAAAATCCAATATAACATAACTTCTAGAATTAATAATTTATTATTCCAAAATCAATTTCCAACATAGTCTTGTATCTATGTGTATATATATAAAGTTGTAACCATACATCTAGCGGTAAGCAGAGAATTCTCAATTGAAACAGCTTGAGCAAAGTTAGCTTGTTTTAGTTCTGCACTTCTTTGATCCTCATTTGTGAGCATCATTCCTCTTCAGTAATTTTCACCCGGTGGTGTTTCTCTGTATCTTACATAAATATTTTCCCTCCGCATTTATTCTGAATTTACCTTCTCTATCCGGTATCATTTCAGTCTTCAGACGCAGTTATGGCAAGTGATTTGCATGTAGTATTGTTTCCATTTTCGGCCTTTGGTCACATGTTGGCATATTTCCACTTATCCAAAGCTTTAGCCAAAGCTGGAGTTCATGTCTCCTTTGTATCAACTCCTAGGAACATTAAGAGACTGCCTACAGTACCACCAAGCTTGGCACCTCTGATTAACTTAGTGAAGCTTCCCTGGCCAACTTTGGATGTTAAGTACGGCTTACCAGAAGGAGCGGAGGCCACGTCGGATCTTCCTACGGAGAAAATTCCATACTTGAAGATTGGCTATGATCTCTTGAAACAACCCTTCAAGCAGTTTATCGCTGAGAAATCACCCAATTGGATAATCAGTGATTTTTGTTCTCACTGGGTTTCTGATATTGCAAAAGAATATGGTGTCCAAGTGATGTACTTTTCAATTCTCTCAGGAACCTTGGGAGCTTTCATGGGACCTCCAGAATATCTTGTTGGTGGTATCCAGAACAGGCCCAGGAGATCCCCGGAAAGTCTAACTTCACCGCCAGAGTGGATAACTTTCCCATCTTCTGTAGCGCTTCGAAGCTACGAGGCACGCGAGACGTTCAATGTTATGATTAAAGAACATCCTTCAGGCATAAGAGATGCCGAACGATTTGCAAAGACCATCAGTGGCTGTCGAGCTATAGCCGTCCGTAGCTGCTTTGAACTTGAAGGTGACTACTTGAAAATATACGAGAAAGTGATTGGTAAGCCAGTGATTCCAGTCGGTTTGCTCCCTCCAGAAAAATCAGAGAAAAGAGAAATAACCGATGGGACATTGGACTCGATCTTCAAATGGCTTGACAATCAAGAGCACAAATCAGTGGTATTCGTGGCGTTTGGTAGTCAGGGTAGATTGACCAAAGATCAAGTTTATGAGATAGCTTATGGGCTGGAGCTATCAGGATTGGCATTTTTATGGACTCTTACGAAATCAAGTTTGGCAACAACGGATCTTGATGTTCTGCCCCCAGGATTCGAAAACCGGACATCCAAGAAAGGGATTGTCGCCATAGGATGGGCACCACAGCTGGATATTCTAGCACATCCATCGATAGGAGGGTCATTAAACCACGCCGGATGGAGTTCTGTGATAGAAACTCTGCAGCATGGGCATAATTTAATTGTTTTACCATTCATGTTAGACCAAGGAATAAATGCCAGGCTCTTGGTGGAGAAAGGCTTGGCAGTAGAGGTAGACAGGAAGGAGGACGGATCAATTACTAGACATGATGTAGCCAAGTCTTTGAGACTAGCTATGGTTTCAGAGGAAGGAAATCAACTCAGGACTCAAATGAAACAAGCCTGTGCCTTATTCGGTGACAGGAAATTGCACCAAGACTACGTTGATAGGCTTGTGAAGTATCTAAAGGACGGAGTTGCTTGAAACAGTCAAGACACTCCCAAATTGCTTTATCTGCCACCATGGTCTTATTTTATGGGAGCAAAATGTCCTGGTTAAGCGTTCTATGCTGTATTCAATAAACATGCTACACCATCAGCAAGCATAATTAATGTTCTAGTTAAGCATTCCATGTTGTATTCAATAAGCATGCTCCACAATCGGCAAGCATTATTTCAGTTTAAGAAGCTGTATTTGAAGTATAATCCACATCAAGCCTTTTTATGTTGTTTTCACTTTACCAGGAGGGTGTGGCGGGCATACCTTTTCGACTGCCCAAATGGATTCAAAACTTTGAACTGTTGTTGGTCACGAAAGTTAAAAACCTGTTTTTCCGTCAACTTGAGTTAGCATCTTGTCAGCATTTACATCATAATGGTGCCCCTTTTTTTTTTTTTAATCCCAGATGCACCAAAACAATTCAACACAGGAATCAAAATCATGATAAAACTGGTACTGCGGACACTCATTTTCACTTCAGGTTTCTGCACTGTATGATGTTAAAGTTCGGTGTATGTAGAGAAGAGCCCAAGCTCCATCATGCGGAATCTCATTTATCAGCATCGTCATTGTATCATTGACTGGTACTATCTTGCCATGTACTGCCTAATTTAACACCATGCTGCTTTATTATCCTGACTGACTGCAGAAGAATGTCTTGCTCCGTAGAGTATAATTCATTTTTGCTCTACACTCACAGAGCAATACAACATATATTAGTGAAAACAACAATTGACTACAAAGCCTTGGTCCCAAACTAGTTGGTCCGGCTATATAGATCATTTTGTTCCATACAACATGATTATAAACATATGCTAGCAAAACAGAAAGGGATGAAAAAATATGTGCTGACATGTGACGAACTTTTTAAGAGGATGAAGCATACAAGTATTGAGATTCAGAACCCAGGGTCATGAGAATAAGACCAGATCAATGACTAAAATCTTCTTTTATTCAATGAGTAAGCATCAAGAGACGAATGAGCAGTTCATTTCCCCCAAAACGAACAAAGGGAATCGCTTCTCTGCAAATGCCTTAGTTATATTTGTCTGGCAGTTTTTGAAAATGTCATCAACCATCAAGCTCACTTGTTTGGTCATGTTGTTATAAATACAATTCCAGACAACAAGGATTTACTGAATTTGGTGCTAGAATTTATGTCAATTGATACCATTGTAAATTATACATGACTAGGGTTGCATTTATTAGCAAACAGTAGTAACGGCTATAAAAAAAAATGGTATTGTCTTATCTTTTCTTTCTCGGTCAACGTGTCTTCTAAACTGGACAGTCAAGCACAAAAGACAGTTCCAATTAACAGCAAACTAGATATATAATGTTCAAGTTTCAAAGAATCAGAGCATGGTACGGATGAAAATCATTAAGTGGACACAGGTCATCTGCAAGCAAAATGGTCGACTTTCTGTCCTGCAACAAAAGTAAAAGGAATGGAGGGGGATATTGGAGCTTACCATTTGTTTGAGATTGCACCCTAGAGTCAATTCTGCAAATGAATTTTCTATTCTAGACAAGTAACAGTAAGGAGCCTCCTTTTCCAAGACAATGTTTGGGTTAGATTTTAGCATGCTCTTGATGTCATTTGATATATGAGGTAACTTCTCCACATCATCAAACGTTACAGGAATTTTGGAGACCACCGCACGCCATTGGGCACGAGACTTGTTCACAATTACCTATAATTTTACATGGCACGCATCAAAGATTACCCAGTCAACAGTTTTAGTAGAAACATGGCAAAGCAAGGGAGAAGAAGGTGCTACCTGAATAAACATCCAAGATGCCAGTTCATTATTAGACAAAACCACAATGTGTGAGCGTGTGTGCACTGGTCATATGCAGACACATACATGTAGGAAGAGAGATAGAGACAATATGTTTCTTACAGGTAATGTAAGGTACCTGAGTGAATACATACCAAAAAACACACGCCAAATTTTCACTCTGGGAACCAAATCAATGATGGATATTCAAATGGCCACTTAAAATCAATCAAAAATTGAAAATGAGCCATCAACCACTAAAAGCTTCAACATCCAAATAAACAAATGAAAAATTTGAATATGATAACATCAACAGTTAAGCATGTGATGTAAATAACCTTTGAAGTAACAGAGATATAAATCCATTGTAACATAACTTTAGACAATGGTTTCCAAAAAATATACAAATGACTTGTGAGGAAAAAGGGTTACCTGACTGGAAAACAATGAATTTGGAACTAAGACAGGGAATTTCTCAGCATTCAATAACGAAGTGGTAGTAAGTCCCATTTCAACCACTTGACCTTCTATAGATCCAGCCTGCAATCAGAGAATTTCCATGACTTTTTCACAATTACAGCAAATGCCTGATACTGTATATAAAAAATATTCAGTTTCACAGGCTTGCCCAAACTTGTTGAGATCATTACGAATGCATAGGAAGAATAGCTTATCTTCCATTTTTCATGAGCATTGACGAATAAAGAACTAGAATGCATAGATACCCGTTTTTCTGGTAACAAAAACGTATATCTGCAAAGTTGTGATAACCATGAAAATGAAGTGATGATTGGCTGGGATACTATCTAAAAAACCATCATGCTCGTTCCTAACATGTTCAGCCACTAGTAATGAGGAGCTGGATGAAAGGCGCTCGGTAGTAAAATTTATTGCAAGACCAACAGCAGGAAAATAACAATAAATGAAACCATAAACTAAGTTATGGATGAAACAATGCTTTTGGACTTTGCAAAAAGAAACTTCAGAGAACTTTTCAGAGAAAACCATAACTTTGACCATTACTCATAGACTACTTCCTTAGAAAGACTTTTCACAATCCAGAGACAAAAACTTCAATGAACCATGGACAAATCACATGTTCTCACCTTTATTGTATCTCCAATAGAAAAGGGCTTTGAAAATTGCATAGACAACCCACTGAGCACATTCCCAAGGACATCTTTGGCAGCAAAAGCAGTAGCAACTCCTGCATAATTTTACAATAAGAAAAGAATCAGGTGTTTATATACGATTACAAACATACAACATTATGATACAACCTAAAAGTGACCCTAGGAGAAAAGTGCTCAGGTGGTCCAGATTGAGATATCAAAAATAAGATGCATTTAATTTTCAATGAGAACTGTAAAACTTTCAAGCAATAACTAATATTCAAATGAAAGAGAAGTGGTAAAAAAGATGTTAAGGTGAACAAATAACATGACTCAAGTCTTCTAACCATTAGTGTAAAAGAAACCTAATTAAGGCCCAATTCCCAACAACATTTAACTAAAGAACAGCCCTCCAAATGAATGGAGGGCTTCTGAAGAAAAAGAACAATGTTCCACAGGCATGAAGTTGTGGTAGGACAGTGGAAGAAGTTAAACACATACGATATAGCCTCCATATGGTGAAAAGCAGAGATCGCAACCCATATTGCTCGCCCAAACTAGATGACAGAGGATGTAAACTACTAGAGAGGGAATAGAGAAGTAACTTTGATTTAAGAACTTATAGAGTCAATGTGTGCATTCAGGAAATCCATCGGGGATTAAAAAAATAATAAAAAAACAGCATTAGAATGTTAAAACTGCACTACTATCACAAATAAATAGGATTTTGGAAGCATAAAATAGAACAAAAGTAAAAAAATCAGAAGATTAGTTCAATCTAAGAATTTTTCAGGCCACATTCCTATCACCACAATTACCGTAGATGTAAAAACACAAGCCATTTGCTAACACTGACCTCCAATGCCACCCACAGTCAAAATAGATTGCACAGCCACCCCACAAGCCTCAGCTAAAGCCATCAGTCCAATGACAAAAAGACCAACAGAAGAAACTCTATCAAGAGTTAACAGCTTTTCTCGATCAAACGTTGCTGAAGCTACCACACGACTAAACACAGTTGTCTTCCACTGATGCAGAAACCATACAAAAGAAAGAATAACAGCACCCCTCCATACTTGTGCTATATACTGAGAAGCAAATGTAGTAGGTGCCACCATCACAGCACTGCAAGTCAAAGTCCAAATATAATAGTCACCAAATGAAAATATAATAAAAACATGAACATAAAATTGTCATAAAGTGGAAAAGATTATAGTTGGAACTACTAACATTTGTGAAAATGCCATGAAGGTGATTACATATCTCAAAGGATCTTCCAGAGCACCCCATATGCTTTTCTCGTATGGAATTTGTTCCCCAGATATGCCTCCAGATAACAAAGCAGCAGGAGTTTGCAATGAATATTTGTGAAATCGCCTCAAAAGCCTAGGCATAACCACCCAAGCCACTAAGGTACCAGTCAAAGTCCAACCAACTGGAACGACCACATTTTTAAGATACGGATGTGAATCAAGCAACTGCTGAACATAAGGGGTCAGTTCACTAGAGGTCTCTCTAGCCTTTTGCCCAGAATAACTTACTGCATCTACCGCACTTTGCCAAGCTTCTTTAACCTTATCAATCCAGTCACTTCCAATAACACCACTGTTACTAACATCCACATCACTTCCACTGGAAGCAGCTGAAACTTCATTAGCCCCAGATTTATCAACTTTTCCACCAGAAGACCAAGAGAATGATCGATAGCTCAAACTGGGGCTCATTGAAATGAAAGGAACAGCACTTTGAAACATCATATTCGACGAAGTTGACAAAAATCCTCTCATTGGTTTAGTCTTATAAGATCGGTTATTGACACACAAGTCAGATCTCATAACTTTAAAATTTGCCAGATTTCCAGCCAATTTTGATTCATCTTTGTAATAATCACGATTTACTATAGCATATGCTGATCTTAGACTACCTCCATTAACATTATAAAATTGAAGTAATTGACGTTGTGAAGAGGGGCTAATGGAATTACAGAGTGATTTTTTTAGCATTGAAAACCTAAGTCCAGCCATTATAGCAACTTACAGCATGAGACGAATTCAACTAAAACATTTCAAAAAATAAAATGTAACAAAATTTTGCTACCAATTTGCAACTAAGCACTTGTCAAAAGCATCTCAACCTGCAAAACAAAAAGAAACATAAAAAGATAGGAATTACATAAACTTATTTCAAGAAATTAAGAAACACGAAAATAGTAGTATGGAGAAATTTGGGTCTAAAAACTAAAATAAACTAACTTAAGCAGCACTTTTAACAGCAGAAATAATAAAATGTGAAGGATAAAAGGAGATTAAAAACACTAAGGCTGTGTTGCAATAATTCAAAGTTTTAAAGGCGAGCAAAAAGAGAATTAGCTTACCAAGGTGCGATGGATGATTTTGATATTTTGGCAACAGTAAGTTTCGATTTATTTTTATTTTTTATTTTTTTTCTAGTAAGATCCTCAGCATCAGGTGCTTTCTTTGCTTGGTGGAGAAGGACAAAAAAAAGAGAGAGAACGTCGTACAGTTTACAAGTTCTTTTTCAGTCTCTGCGTTGAATCAATAACGGGGAGGGAGGCCTTTCGTCTTTTGTTTAATTTACTGGCATTTTTGTTCCCTGGACTTTTGATTTCAAAGGTATTCTTTCCTTTATTTTATTTTTTCAAGAGCTATTTACGTGAGAAATCCTTCAGTCTATTGGGCCGGACCAATTATTCGGACAAAGATTTTTGGATGCTGTGGGAGACACTAATCATGAATCGTAATGACCATTTTAATTTGCTTATCCTATAATTATTTTATAAGAAACGAGAATATTAGTATTAATCGAAACAAGAATAAACCTAACAATACATACAAATCTTAGTTTAGGAGTGTCGTCAAATTTACATAAATCGAAAGTAAGAGCCAAACTTAACTGTATGTATACTTCATCTTAAAACTAAGTTATAATGTCTAAGTCCTAATCGGAATCCGACTGAATTTACTTTAGCTTAAAACTAAGTTATAATGTTCAAATGATAATTCGACTGAACCTTAATAGATTTGAACGATTGAACCTTAATAGATTCGAATTTAATTTATTTAATAAATAAATTGAGTCGGATCTTATAAATATAAATTTGAGTTTTGTAATTATTGATTCAAATCTCACAGTTTAAATCATATTCAAATATTTATCAAATTTATTATTTAATTTAAAAAAAATGCTACATTCAAAAATATGTTTTAATGTATTAAAATAAGTTTTAACTATTATATGTATAAAAAATAATTATGATAATATATAATATGTTAATTTAAAATAAAAATTCAAATGCATCACTGTTAAAAAAAAAACAAATAATCTGGATATAAATTTATATTAACGGTCAAAATTAATTTAAGTTAGGTAACATATATGATAAAGTTTTAAAAGAATGCCTACTCTAGGCACAGCGTGATTGAAAGAATAGCCGTCAATATAATAAAAGAAAATATATTCTATTTGAGTTGATATTTTGCTGTTCGATAATTAATGTATTTTAAAACCTGTACGATAAAGAAATCATGGAGTGTACAATTACATGGCATCGTATCATAGCTTATAAGAATGGTTTGGGACACTGAATGATTGGTGCAATAAATCATACTTAAAGTTTGGAGAAATTACAAATGAAATTGCATATCCGTTGACTTTTAGATGAACTGGATAATTATAAATTGTACATCTATATATGTCTTTAAATTTATTTATTTTATTCAACATTATTAGATGTGATATTGTCATAATTTATGATATTCAATTAACCTAAAATTTGACACATATTTGATCATACTTAACGATTGGTTAGATCAAAATCGAAATAGATAAAAAAAGTTATCTAATTATGTCATAATTTATCTAACTTATAGTAAATGGATTTTTAAATATATAGGAATTCGAGAACCCTGAATCAAATGTTTCTCAAACTTTTTTAGAATTTAAAAAAAGGTTGGGACATGAAATTGTTTGAAAAAATAGTCACCAATATAGAAGAAAAAAAACATAAATATATAACGTTTACATAATATTTCGTTATCATTTAGAGTAAACAAACTCTAAATGTAAATCTAGTGAAATAGACTGGCCATTTGAGAGAAAGATTTAGTGGAATCATCTACAAAAAATTCTGCCATCTATAGGAGTGAAGGAGATGCAGGTGTTTGAGCCGCAATTGATAAGGTAGTTGTCTTCATAAGTAAAGAAGAGGAGAAAGTGATGAGAGAGAGCAAATTTAGGAAGAGCAAGATGAGTGTTTTGGTTTTCTTTGAATTATTCACTTATGTATTAATTTACATAATTTATAATAAATGAATTTCTTAAATGTATAACGAGTCGACGAAGGTTAGGACATATAATTATCTATAAGAATATGCATCAATGTCGAGAAAAAAAAATTATATAATTTATATCATGAATTCTTAGAAATTTAAAATGATGCTCACATGGTTATAAATATATGTTCAATTTAAAGGTTACGAGTGGATTTTATATAACATATTTTTGAATTATTTTAATATTTTTTTAGTATCATAAAACTAATTTTTTTGAAATAATAGTTTAAAAGAACCACAACGTAACTCAAATACAATTTTTTATAATAACATTATTGATTATTTTGTGAATAAATATATATAAATCAAATGTATACACTTTTAAAAAATAATCTTCTCATCAACGTTAAATAAAAAAATTATATTTTTTATTACTTTTGATTCGATATTTTTTGACAGACCTACAACATAAAATGGATTATAAAACTGAAATGATTTTGTTCTATTTGACTCGCAATATAGTGCGAAGAATCAACTCGTTTACTCTAAATGATAAAAAAAAAAAAAATGTTCTATAAAAAGTTCTATATTTTTGAAATCATATTCTAAAAAAATATTCCAAAATCTATATATAGAAAAATAAATCAAATTTATCAAAAAATAAAATTTATAATAAATAAAAATAAAAAATTCATCGGATAAGAATTTTTATAAGAAAATGAGAAATTATAGAAATAATTTTTAAATAATAAGAGTATAATTATATGAAATATATGTTTATTTTAAAATATAAAAGATATAAGATATATTTCATCCTTACAAGGTGCATGAGAAATATAAAAAGTAATGTTCAATGTTTCATAAATTTTGCAAAAAAAAAAAAAAAAAAAACAATTATTGCACAACCTAGTGCGGTTGGGCCTGGTTCTAGGCCTCGCTCTCAGGCTTGCTTTCAAGCCCACTGAAGGCAGAGCGTACAAAAAACCAAAATAGAAGAGGGATGGCACGTTGTGTCGCTCCAAGGGAAGCAAATGACTTGTTGTCCTTATGCAATTTTCAACTGGAAGTGAATGACCGAAAAACATGCCAAAAAAACAAGTTTTGAAGGTTTTCGAACTTTTCAACTAAAATTCCGCTTCTTTTTGCCCCAAAAAAAAAAAAAAAAAAATCCATTAACTCCTTTTGTGTCTCAAAACTCATTTCAATGAACACAAAATATATCAAAATAAAACACAAAAACATAAAAACTTTGGAAACCTCGATATACCTTTCCCAACTGTTTAATGGTTTGACCATTACAAACACATTGTCATCTCAAAAATAAAGAAATTGAACATAATTTCGACTGTCAAGGTGGTTGAAATGGACCTCATCGGTTCTCTCTCACCTTCCGTCTCTCTCTTCTTATTCGTCTCTCTTTTAGGCATCCAAGAATCATAATGAAAAAGAAATGAAGTTTTGGATTGAAAAAAATATTCCTAAACATGGACCAAAGTGAAACTATTTGGATGAATGGTAGAATTGCATAGAGTAAATGAGTCTAAATTCATAGTGATAATTAGTGTGCGACTGTAGTGAAACGCATAGTAACTTGAGGTTTTCTTTTATTTTTATTTTTTTAATAAACTCTGGATCTAATTCTAGCATCATATTTTTCTTATTTTTTATATTTAACTTTTTTATATATTTTTAAAAACATTATATTTATTAAAAATCAATTTCAATATTAATGTAAAATCGGATTATTATCGTATTAAATTCAGGTAATTCGTAGTTGAATTATTTAATAAATAAGTTAACAAATTCTAATCATAACTGAACTCGAATCATAAAAATTATTATTATATTTATTTAATTGTATCTGAATCAAATTGGATTCGAAATAAAATCTATTCCATCGACAATCCTACTAAATTGTTGATGTTTATAGACCTCCAATCAACATGCAATCATTTCAGCTTATTATGTATGGAACTCTTGCTAATTATGTTGGAATAATATGATTAGGAGACGAAGAAATAAATAAATAAATCGGCTTAGCAAAGTAAATACCATGAACCTTACACACCCAAGAAAAAGAAACCAATGTGTGACTAATACAATTTAATTTAAGCAGTAAAAATTTTTAATTAGCTTTAAAAATAAATAATTTTATTGGTAATTTTAATTTTAGGTATCGGTGTTTAATATTAATAATACATATACAAATTATATATATAAAAAAAAAACTAAATGACACGACGTTTTTAATAGTGATTTTCATTGTTCATTTTCTCACTTGTCATTATGGTCATAATGTAACTAAGGTTGGTATTCATTAAATTGTTTTGGAGAATCTATATTCAAATTTTATATCGTTTTTCATTTTGATCCTAAAGTTTTAAAATAAATTTTTTTGCCCACTAGGCTGCTGCATGCTCAAGTGCACAGCTTGTATTGGGCCTACTTCTATAGGCCCAGACGCTTAGGCTTACCTTACGCTTGCAAAAGCCACATGCGCATGCTTGCCTCTTATTTTTTTCTTCGTTTTTTTCTCCGTTGATTTATGTTTTTTTATTATTAAATTAAAAATAAAAATTACAAAAAATCAATCATTATTTTTTCACATAAAATTGATGATTCGATATATTTTTAAATTTAAATATATATATATATATATATATATACTCTTATCGTTTAAATTTGATATTTTTAATGTCATTTTTATAAAAATTCTCGTTAAATTAATTTTTTATTAAATATGATTTATTTTTTCTATTTATAAAATTTCAAATAAGTTTGGCTTGGGCTTGCAAAAGCCATACACGGATGCTTGCCTCTTATTTTTTCTATTATTAAATATGATTTTTTTTATTTTTTTATTTATAAATTTTATTTATTATTAAATATGATTTATTTTTTCTATTTATAAATTTTCAAATAAGTTTGCCTTGGGCTTGCAAAAGCCATATACGGATGCTTGCCTCTTATTTTTTTTTATTTGGTTTTTTCCTTTGTTTTTTTTTTTTTTTTATAATTGAATTGGGAATGAAAATTCCAAAAAAAAAATCGTTTTTTTTTCACATAAATAATTATGTAATGTATACGATATATTTTTAAATTTTAGAACATATATATATAGTTTAAATTTGATCTTTTTAATTTGTAATTTTTTTTATAAAAATTCTCATCAAATTAATTTTTTACTTTTTTTTATTTAATTTAATTTGTTAATAAATATGATTTTTTTTTCTATGTATAGATTTTCAAATAAGTTTTTATTTGCTTATTTTTTTATATAGTCAAATTTTAAAAATAGAATTCACGTGTTTTATTTACTTATTCTTTATATAATCAAATCTTATTGAAATTAATCTTATAGTTTCTTTTATAGTGCTATATTAATTTCAATATATTTTTTTGCAGCTTAATTTTCTTAAAATATTTTTCATTTTATGTTATACACTCTAACCTAACGATTATGATCAAGATGTATAAAAAAATTAAAATTATTGATTTTATTAAAAATTAATTGTACATCTACACACATAACGCTAACCATTTACTATTATTTTTTAAAATTATAAATTTAATTTTTTAAAAATAAAATAATTAAAATAAAGTCCTACGGCGCATGGATTCGAAATGTGGATGACATCCTAAGACAATCGACCAAAAATAATTATAATCTTATTATTAAAAAAAAACCTGCTGCGGTTCGCGTATAATTAAAATAAATAAATAAATAAATTTATTGGGACACTTGCAGAAAAGAGAAATTAAAATAAAAGGTAAAATTGAAAAAAATGTTTCAGATTCCAATAGCTCTGGTTCAACCAGCCTGGTTGGGTCCCCACCCAGGAAGAGCGACGCGTTATTTCTACCTCCAAACCAGGTTAGCACGTAGCGTGGGGCCAGAACCAAACGCGTACAACAAAAGACGATCCTTGCACAAGCATTACGGCTGAAAGAACGCGTTGACCAGGCCCCGAGACTCAATTCAACTCGTCCCTAACTCACTCGCGCTAAAACAGAAACAAATGCTCTTTTATTTCTTCCTCACTGTCTGAAAATTTTATCCTCTTCAATTTCTGTCTCAAATGGAGGAGAATCACTCACTCAAGACCTTGACGTTCTCTCTCTTGATAGTCACTTTCTCTCTTTTCTCCACCCTCTCTCTCTCCACCTTCGCTCCCACAGACAGCCATCTCATTTCCTGTGGCTCCACAGTCGATACCACCGTCGACGGCCGCCGTTTTATTTCCGATTCCAATCCAAACTCTCCACTTCTCTCCTCAACACATACGATTCCGTTTACCAACCAAAATCCATCTCCCAATTCTCTCCAAATCTACAACACTGCAAGAATTTTCAAAAAACCTTCAAAATATGCTTTGGACGTTAAGGAGCCAGGGGTTCATATGGTAAGGCTTCATTTTCACCCTTTTGTTTCTTCGAATTTGGATTTAAATGATGCTCAATTTCACGTTTTGGTTAATGGATATGTTGTTTTGAGCAATTTTAGTGTAGGGAAAGTTAGGGACTTAGTAGTTAAGGAGTATTTTTTATGGGTTGATTCTGATAAGATTGCGATTAATTTCGTGCCTGCAAAGAAGGGTAATTTTGGGTTTGTTAATGCAATTGAAGTGATATCTGCACCCAAAGATTTGATTGCTGATGTGGGATTTCTTGTTAATGGTAATAAAGATGATAAATTTGAGGGATTAACTAAGCAGGCACTTGAAACTGTGCATAGGATCAATGTTGGAGGTCCAAAGGTGACACCTTTTAACGATACTGTGTGGAGAACATGGATTCCTGATGATGGGTTTTTTAAATCAGGTGATGATTTGTTGAAACGGATGTACTTTAGTGCTCGTATTCATTACAAAATTGGAGGGGCTAGTAGGGAAGTTGGTCCTGATTTTGTGTACAATACTGCTCGAGTGATTTCTAGCACGAACGGTTCCATACTTAATGTTAATATGACCTGGGAGTTTCCGGTGGATGAGGGTTATAAGTATCTTGTTAGGTTGCATTTCTGTGATATTGCTAGCATATCGCTTGGTTTGATACATTTTAATGTCTATGTTAATGGGTATCTGGCTTATGAAGATTTAGATCTTTCCTCTATCACGTATATGCTGGCTTCTCCATTTTACGCGGATTTTGTTGTTGTTGATGATAGCTCTGGGGTTTTGAGTGTGAGTGTTGGACCTTCCAAAAAGAGCAGGACATATGAAGTTGATGGTATTTTGAATGGGGTGGAGATCATGAAGATGAATAATTCAGCGGGTAGTCTTGATGGAAAGATTTGTGCAGGGATGGTTTTGAAAAGTTGGCCTAGAGCAAATATTGGTGTTTTGGTTCCTTTTGTTGCTGTTGTGTTTTTGTTGCTGAGTCTAGCTATGATTATGCATTGGAGAACAGTGGGAATGAGGAACCCTGCTACCTGGTCAAAATTGCCTACTGAAGTCCCAGGAGTTAGCTTAAATCATGGTAATCAACATTTGCCTGGTAAAGCGTGATATCTGTTCCATATTACAGTTTGTTGTATGTGATAACTGGTGATGCTATAGAAATATGTTATTCTCACTTTCTGCTTTTAAAGGTCATAGGAAGTTCGTATTTGAAGTCTCTAAAGCTTAATGTACCTGGCAAGTATTGTAATGCTAATTTGTAAGTAGGCTGTTTTTGTATAATATAGTATGTTTGGGCAGATATATATTATTTCATTGTTGGTGTGGTATTTCTTCTTGCTTATTTGCAATGCTAGAATTTTTTATTGTGGTGGTGCAACTTGTAGAATTTGTAATGCAGGATGCAATGTCTTAGTATATTCCTTGTACTTTCATTTCTCATGAGCATTACGACCACTTAAATAAGATTTCGACTATTTTACTGAAAGCATACTCATTCAACAGTTTGCTTGAGCTTTTTAGCCTTAAGTCAATTTGTGTTGTTTGTAAGCTTGAACTGAGCCTGGCTTCATTCATTTGATTTTCAAAGGCTGTTTCCAAGTGCTATGGCATGTAGATATGACAAGAGGAAGTAAAAGTATCTCACCTAGGTTAAACAAGTGATTACTAAAATGTCATTAGGTCATGACTTTCTTCTTGTTATGATGGTATTTCCCTTCCTAAATTCTTGTTCATATTGCAATCATGTTTCTATTTTTCAAAGCAATCACTGATATTGCTTGCATGGAATCACGAAATTAGTCTGCACATATTCGTGAATTGGCCCTTAAAAAGTAGAGAAGTGAATCGCTCTTTGCTATGCATGGTTATGGAGGAACGAAAAACTGAAAAGTGTTAGAATATGAGAAAATCCTTCTTGTCTTGAAATTATCCTGAAACCGTTCCTTGCTGGTTTGTTTACCTACGTAATTCAACATCGGTGCCTGTAAAGCATCCCACCACCGCTAGGTGATGCCTCTATGGACCTTTATTATGTAATAACTCTTCGGGTGAGGAGATGAACAATCAATCACCTGCAAGGCCAAACCTTTCTTCAATGCTATATGAAAATTTTCTTAAATTAATATGATGCTGCATCCATCTATAGGTCATCCCACTTAGTAAGAAATTATTAGCACTAATTAATTTCTTTTTTAAAAATATAACAAGTGTCTTTAGGCTGCGAAAAAACTTCTTAATTCCCTTCCAATTCAATTTCTCCCTGCGAACCAAAACATAATCATGCAAATAAGGCACTGTTCAGCCACCCTGTTACGTCTTCCTCCTTAATCCAATCGTAACAAATTTTCATAAAGGTGCACTGCAATTAATTTTTCAGAAAGTTTGTTGTGACGAAATATTTGTTAGGATAAGGGGGTTGTGTGGAACTCATGTAAGTTTAAACTCATAGGCCCAAATTCGATTAATGAGCTAGGCCTGACGGCATGCTTTAGGCCTTGAAGGATGATGATCTTCTGTAATTTGAGTCGTGGAATTAAAAATGAAAATGAATTTATATTACGTAGTTGATTTTAATATTCTTTTTTTTTAAAAAAAAAATAGTAAACTACAAGAGGTGGCTTAATGGTAAATCTTGTCAGGGTCGAAGGTTTGCTTCTCTATACGTAGAGAGTGAAGAAAACATTCTTCAAAATTTAGAGTTCAAAATGTATCCATTGAAAATATTTGACATCTAAACTAAAATTTCAATTATATGAAAATAAAAAATCCATAAACAACAACAACAATAACACATTGGCGTTTATGCTTTTTTGCATTTAGAAAAAAAAAAAAAAAAAACGAAAGCAAACTTGGGATGTTATCAAAAGGGAGAAAGTTTAGAGTATTCCCAACACTTTCATTACCCGTTTAGAAATCGTTCAGATGAGTTTCATTTATTTTTCGACCTGTAATTCTTTTACATATTGCTCTTTCATAAAATTTTAAAATACAAGAGCATCTCAATTATATCGAAAAGAAAATTTGGTAATAATGAGAAGAAAGTAGTGAGGTTTTAATTTCTAACCTGATAACCTACCTTCTTGTTTTCTGAAATCAAAACTTCTCATTAAGAATATTTGATATCCATTATCACATTTAAAATCCTGGAGATAGGCTGGCTGCTAAATTTCTTCCTTTTTGACAATTCGGATTGCTAGATCTTGTTTCCATATTATCGCTAAACTCATCAACATTTACTTATCTCTTTCTCAAAATTTGGGGTTTCATTTGTTGATTATCTATTATTATTATTATTATTTCTCGTGACAGGTTTGATGTCACTAGTGAGGCAGGCATGCGTCAGCCTTGCTATTTCAACGCATTACACTTGGCACACAAGAGCCCCGAGTTTAACACACAAGGAGGAGAGCAAAGATTGGTAGAAACACGAGGGCAGTCGTTTAAAATCAAATCCAACTACTATCGTACATAATGAGTTATGAGTTATTTGGTTCAACACAAAACATCAAGCTAAGTGGGTCTTTCCCTTGGAAGGCAATAACTAATTTTCTCCAACAAAATTAGTTCAAACCTTAACCCTACGTACCCTGCCCAAATTAGCATAATTAAGATCTACAAATTTGTAATTCACAAATTAAGTAAAGTCAATTCACGCACCGGGGTCCACACACAATCTACGTGTATCCATCACTTAGTTTGTCATTTAAAATAAAATTAATATGCTATATATGTTGTTTTAAAATGGTATTACATTGTGTTCTTTTAAGAATATTGTCTATTTATGATCGATTATTGTGTGTTTAAGTTAATATACGTCAACTAAACAGTAATTTGATATAAAATATGTAGTCTAACAATTTTATATTAGATTAGCCTTTTCTTTTAATTATATATATATATAATGTAACGACAAAAAACTATCATCGTTCAATAATTTTAAAGCCAATTGGATTTTGAAAAGAAAATTGTTGTCATTTGTATATGTGAAAAGGCTAGCTTATATGACAACTAAGTTTATTTTTCATCTATCATTTGGATTCTTTGAAAGATAATCATTGCATCAGAATGAATGCCTATAGGTGATCTATTTAAAATCTAATCCAAAAAAAAAAAAAAAAAATCAATTTTAATCTGTATATAAGTCAAAACCCAAGATGCTCTTTAATGTTAAAACCTCCTTATAATTTGTGAAGTTATTTGATATTTCTACAAGGCAAGAAATGAAACTTCCACTCTATAATCAATGTGAGCGTAATTAAAAAAAAAAAAAAAGATACGAGTCGTCGTCATCATCATCATAATAAATATATATACACACACACGGTACGTTCATACAATGGTGGTAAAATAAGCAACTGCATGGGAGCTGCATTATGGTTCGTTGAGATTTTTTTGGTTGAGTGTGATCGAATGAGCTTATCATTCCCATCATCAATTGTGTAGTGTAGCATGAATCGTGCAATTGTAGGGAAGTAAACGCATCAACTTGTGCCATACAAATTAAGCCTGAATGAAACGAAAATGGAAAGAGAGAAATAAAAAAGGTCGGCACTAAGCCCAATTGTTTTTTTTTTTTTGGTTAATTAAAGGTCAGCACAATCGGTGGTTCCTAAACAATGACATGTCAAGGATTGGGCATGCTCCCACGGTCCCACCTACTGTTAGCCACGTGAGATAATGAACCATAGAACTTTTGTGAGGAGACGACGTGAGTCATGCTTCACATCCTATATGCATAAAAAATCATTATATAAATTCTTCCCTATAAATAGGGTTAAATTCCATTTACATTCTCTGTGTTTTACACCCTATTAGTTAACCAAGTGCTTTCTCTTCTTTCTCTGTGTACGTATCTGTTTGAGAGAGGGGGAGATAGAGAAGATGGATTCAAGATCACCCTCTTCTCGTACAGAAATCGGAATGGTCCGGGCAGGGATAAAGTTACTACTGATTGTAGTGTTGCTGGGCTACGCTATAGTGTGGATTATGATGCCCACCATCACCTTCAGGAACATATGGCTGCCTAACATCCGAAGAAAGCTTAATTCGTCCATTTATTTTGGAAATGAAGGTTTGCATTGATTAAAGTTCCTTTTTTTCTTTTTTTATAGTCAACATATAATTATGCTTAATTATTGTATTTCTTTCTTTTTCAGCAAAAAAATTTGTTTAATGTACATCAAGTATATATGTTTGATGCATATTGTTGTTACAGGCACAGGATTTTTGGTATATTCGTCTCCCATTCTGTTTGTAGCTGTTGTGGGCTGTGTGTATCTCCATTTGGGGAAGAGATCCAACGACAACAAGCTGCAAAGGTAATTGTCGAATGAGAGTTTTAAGCGATCGTTAATTTTTTTTAATTCGTATTTATTGCTCATCATATCCTAATTATGACTTTCACTGAATTATTTTGCTTTCGATTAATTACAGCAACGGCAAAAAGAATCGTTTTGCCACGTTGAAAAAGCCGATGCTAGTAAAAGGCCCTCTAGGCATTGTTTCTGTCACAGAGCTAGCCTTCTTGATCATGTTCGCAGCCCTATTACTTTGGTCATTCTCAGTTTATTTACGTAATGGCTTTGCTACTATAGACCCAACATCAGCTGCAGAAATGGGAGTAGAAGTGTAAGAGCTTTTTTAATTACAAACTAATCTTAATTATACTGTAAATATATATTAAGGATGGCTTCTTACTGCATTATAAGAAAAATTAATAATAATGCATGTTGGTGATCTTTTTGGCAGATGGCAAGCTAAATTGGACAGTGCATCTTTGAGACTAGGCCTTGTGGGAAATATATGCCTAACATTTCTTTTCTTACCGGTGGCTCGTGGATCGTCTCTGCTGCCATTATTCGGCCTTACTTCTGAAGCTAGCATCAAGTACCATATATGGCTAGGTCACGCAGTTCTGGTCTTCTTCACTGCTCATGGACTTGGTTATATCACATATTGGGCTGCCACAAATCAGATTTCAGCGGTAAACAATTTTTTTTTATCTTAGAATTATACTCACAAATATAACATTGATCGATCTCATTTTTCATTTATTTTTGATAACTAAAAAGCGAAAGTAATTTATACATGATTTAAATGTAAGTCATGTGACATGATTTATTTTTTTCAGATTGGTTTTCTTGGAACGTGACTCACACGTGTCTTATTTATTTATTTTGTAGTATTTTTTTCCTAATCCTTGATAGATTATTTGAATTATTTATAAATTAATAAGTTTGAATGGTTATTATATTAAAAAAAATTGATTTTTAAAAGCGACCTACTTGAGAAAGAGAAGAGTTTGTGAAGCTGACCTCCAATAGACTCAGACGGTATTCTCTTTGTTGAGTGGGATGAGAACAATTTTATATATATAAAGTTTCATAAGCTATGAATTATCATGGTTTAATTTGTATCTTTTTCTTTTATGACTATAGCACCAATAAAAATCATAAGTACCGTCCTCTATACATTCTTTTTTCTAACGAATGTCTCAATAACTAAAGTTGAAATAAAATTAGCTTGATATTCTGATTGAAATAAATATAGCCAGATATTAAATATAAAAGAGATAATAAGCATTCTAATATTTTTAATAAATTTGATTTTGATTAGAAAATTTACTAAATATATATATATAATTGAAAACTCTCGCCAAAAAATAAAATTTAATAAGTTATTGGATATCATGCATGCACTAATATTTATATTTTAATATTATGACATTTAAATTGTGTTTTGCTACACAATTACTATCATTATTATAATATTTGAATTATCTTGTCTAAGGATTCTTTATTTAAATTTCATCTATTTTGTATTTAGGACTCTACTAATTTTTAGTGCAGTAATAGTAGCATTAACATTATATTATATATAAATTATTTTATTTTAATTAAAGAGTTAAATATATGTCAATTGAATTGAATTAACAATACATGTATGAAAACAAAAAATTCTTATGTAATACTATCATAGTATGACAAAAGGAATAATGCAAAGTTTATGAATCCTTTTGTCTAAAAAAGATTAAAAAATAATTTAAGAATCCTATATTTAAAAAACTCATGATCCAAATTCAAGGATCCGATTTAATAATTGGATGAATTTTGATTTTTATTAGCTTGTATTTTTATAGTTTTTTTTTAATAGTAACTAATAATTTTAAAGTTTTGATAATCAAAATAAATCGTGAACGAGTTACTATATAAATAAGCTAAGAATGATATAAAAAACTTATTCTATGTTGTTTAGGATTTTTACGTGGTGTATAAACAAAGAAATAATGAAAAAAATTAATATCGAGGTTAACCTTTGTTTATATAAATTTCTTAATAAGAGGTGGGGTCGAATTTGCATGCATATTAGTATTGGAGTATATATATGTGTGTATGTGTTACAGTATTAGTATTTTCAGCTATTAGATTCATAGTCTATCTCTTAATGTAGACAATGGAAAAAAAAAAGAAAAAGAAAAAAAGTTTTCAATCGTGAGCATCCACTAACCATCCACATGAATAGGAGGAAACTTGCAAAACTATTATACCTCTTAGGTTTCTTGGAGATCGAAGAATAAAAACGAAAAAAAATGGAAAATTAAAAAGCCAAATCTCACGAGTTTGGACAATTGGACACTCAATATAGTTACCATAGAAAGCAGCAGGCCGTTGGTTAACAGATTATATAATTGTGTTCTTTCGATCTTGTTTCTCTTTTGAGATTGGACCCCACAAGTCAATAACCGTGCTTGTCTGCTTGTCCTAGAGAAAAGTAACGTAAACTATAAATTATCCCCTCTAGTTTTAAGAAATAAATTAATTATTTTAAAAAAATTAATTATTTAATTTTATACTAAGTATTGAACACACTTAAATCAACATTATTTTATTATAAAAATATTTTTTTAATCAATATTTCCATAATACCTATTTATTTTTAAAAATTAAAAATAAAATAAATGAAAAAAAAGCATAACACGGATAAAAAAATTCAATAATTAGTTTTTGAACTAGATAAAGGTGATCTTTTGATTTTTCAGTTTGATTTTTAACTACTTCGATTTGATTTTGATTAATAGAATCTAAATAACAAAAATCAAATTATTATTCGATTTTTTGGTTAAAAAATTAAAATTTTGGCTTTTAGTTTTGGTTTTTTCTATTTAAACTATTTTTTTTTGAATTTTTTTAAAATTTAAAATGTCATAAATAGATTAAAAAAACATTATCAATCCATTATATATCTATAATAATATTAATATATTGATGTTTTGATTTATTTTCATTATTTTAAAAAATAAAAAATAAAAAAAAATCAGTTTTCGGTTTAGAACAAACCAAAATTTTAAAAATTGAACCAAACCCCAAAAAAAAAAAAAATTGGGTTAGAAATCAAATCCAAATTGACATTTCGGTTAGATTTGGTTTTTAAGTTTAGAGCAAATACTGGTATTTTTCAAAAATTACATAATTTACTCTAGAAAAGTAGGTTTTTTTTTTAAAAAAAAATTATTTTTGCTGCCACGGCTTTTTCTGCATTAGTGACATGCTTTCTAATCACCTGTTTATCATGCATAAAGTGTATACTGTTTTTGGTCCCTATAGTTGAGTTCATTCATAAATCGGATGGTGAGGATCATCTGATAGGTTGACTTTAGGGCTGGGGGAATATGCCTCTGACAGGTGTACGGTGAAATGATTGTTCTAGTGTTTCTTTCCCTTCTGTTTGGAAGTGAACCTTTGCCTAAAATGGTTTTCTTAGGCATCCACTTTCAGTGATAACCATATCAAGGCTGGCCCACCAAAAACTTTATCCGCAGAAAAATCCACCAAGTGAAAGTCATTTCACGTGGTACTGAAAAAGAGAGAAGAAGAAACAATCCATATGTTGCCGAAAGGGCTTTACGTAAGTGGCCCAAACACCAGACTATGAATATTATACTCGAACCCAATTCAGATTGAGTAATACTCCATTAACCTGAGTTATTGATAGAGTGGATTTCATTAACAGCTCTTACAAAAAGCCACCATTAATGAGTTCGCTAGTCATTTCTGCGTGATCATTTCTCAAAAAAGATTTACTTAACATGACCTGTGATGTATGATTAAATTTTTTGAAAAAACAATTAAGTTAACCTGTCGTCTTAGCTGGTTAGCCCTTAGATACGTAGTGGGTGCTTCCATCTTCTTTCTTTTGGAACGTCGCCTAGAAAATCACGTAGTTCCTTGGAAATATTATTCCGAGTATTTATGCTGATTCGTGATACAATATTTAATTCAGACTTTAATGTCAAACCAAATTTATGTTTTTCTTGCTGGTTGATGCCTGAAATTCCTTGCAATGCTTGAGAATATAATTTAAATTGTCTATTTGATGTTCTACGATTCGAAACAAGAACCTTGTTTGTTTAATTATCAAATTCATGGCCTTCATAATGTTAAACATGCAATGCAGATGCTAGAATGGGCAAGAGATGATATATCAAATGTGGCTGGAGAGCTATCTTTGTTGTCTGGACTAGTCATGTGGGCAACAACCTTCCCTGGAATTAGGCGGAAAATGTTTGAGCTCTTTTTTTACACCCATTACCTCTACATCCTCTTCGTGGTTTTCTTTATATTCCATGTTGGCATATCTTATTCCTGCATTATGCTTCCTGGATTTTACCTTTTCTTGGTTGATCGTTTCTTGAGATTCTTACAATCACGACAAAGAGTTCGCTTAGTTTCGGCCCGGATTCTGTCATGTGATACCGTAGAACTCAACTTCTCGAAGGATCCAAGTGAGATCAATTACTAAACATATACTTCTTTTGTTTTTTAATCTGGTCAAGTTCTTTTTTTAACTTGTTCTGTGATTTATATTGCCAGGGTTGAGTTATAATCCTACGAGCATTTTGTTTATGAATGTGCCTAGCATTTCTGGTCTGCAGTGGCATCCTTTTACTATCACTTCTAATAGCAACTTGGAGCCTGAAAAGTTCAGTGTTGTCATTAAGAGTGAAGGAAGTTGGTCGCAGAAGCTACACCAGATGCTTTCATCACCTTCTTCAATTGATCGTCTTGAGGTCTCAGTTGAAGGACCCTATGGACCTGCTTCCACGCATTTTCTAAGGTTTGTAGTTTGTCCCATACAAGAAACATTTTCTTTTCTGTGCTTCAGAATCCTCTCATTAGCACTTGGCCAGTACATCGGTTGTTCTTTGTTAGAGAAATCTTGCATTAACAAAACCTTTGTATTTAGGCACGACAAACTAGTGATGGTGAGTGGAGGCAGTGGCATTACTCCTTTCATATCTATAATTCGAGAGCTCATATTTGCGAACATGGCATACAAATGCAAGACACCTGAAGTAATCCTAGTTTGTGCATTCAAGAATTCTTCCGAACTCTCCATGCTAGACCTCCTGCTTCCAATATCTGGCAGCCCACTAGATATTTCCAATCTGCACTTAAAAATTGAGGCTTTTGTAACAAGAGAGAAAGGACCGACAGTGGATAACTCGAAGGCCTCCTCTCGAGCCATATGGTTCAAGCCCCACGTAACCGATGCACCTGTATCTGCAATTTTAGGCCCGAAAAGCTGGCTTTGGCTCGGAGCGATCATATCATCTTCTTTTATCATTTTCTTGATTATAATTGGCCTTATTACTGGCTACTACATTTATCCCAACGATCAAAAAACCAATGGACATTTTCCATTGGCTTTTAGATCTTTTCTCAATGCGTTAGTTATTTGCATATGCATAGCCATGACAGCAAGTGCAGCTGTTCTTTGGAACAAGAAACAAAATGCGAGGGATGTTAAGCAGATTCAGAACATTGAAGGGTCAACACCAGTCGGATCCCCTCAGTCATGGTTCTACAATGCGGACAGAGAATTGGAAAGCGTCCCTCATCTGTCTCTTTTACAAGCTACTACTGTGCTCTATGGTGAAAGGCCTGACCTAAAGAGTAAGCTAATTTTTCTCGGTCAAATCAGAATTATAATGATTTGGTGCCTGTTTTATGATTACATTTTTCTCGTTGACATTAAGCGCTAATCAACCCCCTTTTCGTTTGATGCAGAAGTTCTGTTTGAATGCAAAGGATCCAGCGTGGGGGTTCTTGCCAGTGGTCCAAAAATGATGAGACAAGAGATTGCGACCATCTGTTCATCTGGTTTAGCAGATAATCTGCAATTCGAATCCATTAGCTTTAGCTGGTGATTTTACTCATCTTGGCTTAGCTGTCTGTTGTATACGCACTTTGAGCTTCTTGTTTTTTTTTTTTTGCCGGGTTTCATTTTTCCCTGTATTTTCAAGATGTAATCTCTCTCTCTCTCTCTCTCTCTCTAAACAAATGGAGATGTAAATTGAAAAGAATAAAATTGATGTGATTCTTGTAGAGGAAGGGAAAAAAAATTCAATCCTAACTTTGAGTCCATTCAGATTGAGTTCTGAAACTTTTTTTTATTAATTTTGGAATTCCTAAATTTTAAAATTTTTAAAATCAAGTTCATTATACATATCGGATAATGTATACGTGAAAGTATAAAATGAGAAATTTTATAATACACTGAAGTAATTGGTGGCATATACGATAGTTATTCCATAAACCCACTTTGAGGAGAGAGATAGACACATAAAAAAATAGTGAAATTATATCCATATCCACCAAAAGTGATAAAAAAATTTCTACATCTCGCTCAAATTTTTTTATTTTCTTTCTCCTGTTTCTCTTTTTTTTTTTTGTTGTCTATCTCTTTCTTCAAAGTGAGCCTATGAAGTAACTACTATATATGTCACTAGTTACTCCTGTTGTATTATAAAATTACTCGTATAAAATACCCATGGCTAACTAAATATAATAAAAGATAGCTGACATTTGTTATGTTTTTTTTTTTTAAAAAAAAAATTAAACTCTAACTCACTTAAACAAATGATGAAGTAATATCTAATTTTTCCTTTAACTGCACTAATTCATCCACTCAACCCGCCACGAAGCTAATTGTTTCCTCAACATATCTTTTGATATGTGAAGCTCTCTCATTCTCTATCTTCAAATTTTCATCCTTCATTTATTCATTTGTCATATTTTATTTTTTGATATTAGCAACATGGTTAATGAAATTGATTTTATGTGTGGGTTATAGGTTTCATTAGGGTGTTAAATTTTGAAATATTATCTGAAAAAAATAATTTTTTGGTCTGAATAAATTCAATTTGTTAGAGAGAAAGAGCCAACGATGGTTGTTGATATAGAGGTTTTGGTGTGGGTTGGCTGGCGGCGTGGGTTTGAGAAAGATTGACAAGGTGGTTGGCTTTTGAAGAGATCGCTGAGGTGACTGGCTTTTAGAGAGTCGACGAGGTGGCTGACGATGGTAGAGAGTCGTCGAGGGGGTTGGCTTTTGTGGAGAATCGACAATGTGGCTGGTGTTTGTTTACAGTGGGAGAGTGAGAGGAGTGACGACTGGCATGATGGTGGGTTTCAAACAGGTTTAAAAAGAGCAATGGCTAGTGTTATAGAGGCTAGCGGTGAATTTCGACTGGGTTTAAAAGAAGTAGCGACTAGCATGATGGAGGCCAGTGCTAAATTTTGGCCTACGCTGGTGTTTCAAAAGTTGTGAATTGCGACAGTCCGACTGTATAGAATTTTTAGGAAAGAAGAGATTGTTGCCTAGGGTTTTCTTTTTATTTTTTACGGTAACAATACTTCAACTTTTATATGGACAAAAATTTAAAAGTGCCAGACATTTTTCGTTATATTTAGTCAGCCACGAGTGTTTTATACTTTCATGTGCATATTCTCTATTATCTATAACAGAAAAATATTTGATGTACTTGATTTCAAAAATTCTAAAGTTTAGGAAATTTTTAGAATCAATAAAAAAGTTACGAGATCCAATCTCAAATTACTTAAAATTTAGAAGTAGTTAGACCCTTTTAGCCTAAAAAAAAAAGAAAAAACTTGCTTAGATCTCTTCCATGAATGACATAATAATTTATGCAAACAATCCAAATTTATTAGTATTGATTTCTTTTTATTTTTAAAAAATGAGAATTATTGTGGACCATTAAGTTCTCCAAAGTCTAAGGAAAAAAAAAAAACCAACTTAATTTTACGAGTAAATTTTCATTCACTAAAACAACTACAACAAAACAAAAATTGTTGTTCACACACTCGTGGACTTTCTCTCGTTTTTTAATTCATTTACTATTTATTATATCTAGATTTCTTATTCACTTATTGTACTTGTCATTATTTGTTCAAAAATATGCACTTTGGTCCTTTTTTTGAATTTTTTTTTGGTCTATAATTTTATTTTTTGTTCATTTTGGTCTCTACATGTTAAGAGAAGAGAGAAACAAGAGAGAGAGAGAGACGAGACAGAGACGAGAGAGAGGTAGCGTGTCGAATGCTCTAAAATAATCTAGTTATTTTCTTACTAGACCTAATTACTAAAATGCAGCTAGGATAAGCAAAGATCGATGCCACGGAGAATTGGTTCGGACCATTTATCAATTATTTGATTGATTTAAAATAAAAGGAGGTTTGTTTGTTTAATGCTTTGGTAAACAAATAAACACGAAGGTGAAATATATTAATAAAAATAGAGATAATGATCGATTCTTGGTTTAATCTCTACTTTCGCACTCAATGAATATAACCACGGTAGGTTATTTGACTTCTCTTATTAAATTATTGATCATAGATAAAAATAAGCTCTGTCATTCAAATTTTCCCTTAAGTATCACCAAATGAAATCAACTCTTTAATTGGATGTTAATAGTAACACAATCTAAAACAAGCTCTCTAGATTTAATGCATGACAACTTTAAAAACTAGAAAAATAGTTCAATCTAAGCAATAATTTTACAAGTTTGGATTATTTAACCTAGGTTATGTTATTCATAGTAGTGAAGACAAAAACTTATCCATAATCATCTACCACTATTTGTTGCTAGGTGATTAGAAAAGGGACAATTACACGTATCTTATGTACAATTAGTTTAAATGGATTTAATACATGTTAAATTAGAGTTTTCTTTCTTCATGAAAGTTATAGCCCTATTTATTATATTCCCAACGCATTAAGTCTTGTATCAATTAGAGATCTACAACTTTAGTTATGAGCTACATATCGTCACCGAGTCAACCTATTCGTCTAACCTTAGGATTCCACTTTGCAACCGAATTCCTCTATCAATCCAACCTAGTTTGGAATCGGGCCCTTTATAAGAATTATAGGTATGCCTCCTAAGTATCTCTTGGGATTTAACTTGTATCAATTGAAGTTACGAAACTCTAGATATGAATTATATGTCCCAACTAATATAGACTTCGAATAAGAATTGGATCAACTTTCTAGATAAGAATATAAAATATTGTTTGGAGACCTAAATGAACTTGGATTTTGACCTTCTATATCATTCTTAAAAGCTTGATATATGCTCTAAAAAGGCTCAAAAGACCACTTCTTCCAAATCTAACTCTAATACTTTGGAAAACCTATAAGAAACCTTTAAGATCTAAGTTAATCTTGTTGGAATTCTCTAACTTTTAAGCATAACTACTCTAAATTCCTAGTTTATGTTTTGAAAATGAATATGAGCATAGATTATTGTAATAAAACATAAAACATAGCAAATGAACTAAATATCAAGATAATAAAGATATGATATTAGATTTCTATCAAACTCCCTCACACTTAATTTTTGCTGGTTCTCTAGCAAAACAAACAAATAAAATAAAATAAAATACTTCCTAACTCAATTTCATAAGAATCACAATTGCATTTAGCACATGTAAAAGCCATTAAGCCCTTAGGTCATTTTTAGTGGACGAGTTGTGTCTCGTGAGGGTTTTCGGAAGATATACTCATAAAATCTTAGGTGAATGTCATGCAAGTATAAATAACCTTCAAACATTGAAGCTTGATTCAGAACCTAACAAAATTAAATAATCAAGTCAATTGGTTTAAAATATTATTCTCATATCCATGTATGTCTCTAAATTAATTTATGCACTTTTATAGTCAACATAATTTAAGAATGCAACACTTATCTTGTCATTACCTCCTTCCACTACTACAAGAAAAAGTAATGAATTGAGATTTTTTTTCTTATTATTATTATTATTATTATTATTATTATCGGCATTTCAATTCTTCTTCAAGGCCTTTAACAATTCTTCCCTAAGTAATCAAATGCCTTTTTATGTAAATACTACCATTTTTAATGAAAGCAACCGGTTACTCGAGTATGTCATAAACTTAGAGTGTTTTGTATACTCATGATTCAAGTTGTCATTTGACGTAAAAGTAAACATTAGTGATGAATATCCCTAGTTATTAAGCGACTCAAAATATTGAAGTAGATTTATAATTCAATCAATAAGGCTGAAATTTCAACTTAGAATGTTTTCTTTTTCTTTTCAAAGTTAAATAATTAACTAGAAAATCTCGTTTTACTTAAACCATACTTAGGCTTAGTTTCAAAGGATAATTTCAAAATAAACATCACTTCAAGAATCATGTTTAATCATAAAGACATATAAATTTCTCTAACATGCATGCACTTTCATAATAATAACATTCGGAACAATCACAATTTTCTTATAAGATCTTGTTAAAATTCTAAATTAATCATCAAGTAAGATGGATATCATACTACCGATGGCATTTCTCTCTCTCTCTTTTTTAAGATAAATAATAAATTCTAAATTTAAAAATACAACCTAAATCCTAAATTTCTTCTCCTTACACTTAAAACTTACTTTGTCCTTAATAAAAAATTACCATACAAGAGGAAAGCAACTACCAATAAACAATTATCACAAAATAAAAGATAAAAAGATAAGGAATAGAAAAGCAATCGATTTCTTGGGTTACCTCCCAAGCAACGTATTTGTTTAACATCATTAGCTCTGATTGTCTTCTAGCCATCAATCCTCATAAACTGGATCCTCCATCTCAAGATGCTTAGGAGTAACCACCTTTATGGCTTCAAAGATATTGAAGCAAATTACTCGCACCATCAAACTCCATTGTGAGGGTACCATTATGAAGATTTATATTGGCTTTGGTTGTCTTTAGGAATGGCCTTCCTAACAAGATGGATGTAGGGTCAAGAGAAGAACCATCATCCATATCCAAAATGTAAAAGTCAATCGAAAACACAAACTCATTCGATTCGTATAAGAACATCCTCAACTATCCCTTTAGAATAAGTATTAGTGCGATCTACCAACCGTATGATAACATAAGTATCTTTTAAAGGACCTAGATTTAATGAAGCATGCATAGAGCATGGCATAACATTTATAGAAGCTCCTAAATGTAACATAACTCTTTTAAATCTAGTGTTACCAATTTTATAAAGAATAGTAAACATACTCGAATCCTTGTATTTGGGGGAAGTTTTCTTTGAAAGGTTGCCAAAACACTCTCTTTCATTTTTACCTTCTCGTATTCAACTTCTACTTATCATTGCATAAATTCTTTAATAACTTTGCATAACTAATCACTTGCTTGATTACATCCAAGCAGAGGTATATTAACCTCAACCTTGTAGAACGACTCCGAATTTCTCTATCCTTCTCTTTGTTCTTTGATTTTTCTAGCTTGTTAGGAAAAGGTAGAAGGTTAGCTTTTAATTAAATTGAAGTGTTATGAATTACCCGAGGTGTTGCTATAGCTCGTTTAATTAGCATGTTTTCTTTCTCTATTTTCCTCTCAATCTCTTCTTCATTTATTGCAATAAGAACTACCTTACTTGGTTCCTTAACTAGAGCGTCACTTCCGGTGTCATTGCACTCACATTCTCTTTTAAGTTTATCATTATTTAGGACGGTAGCCTCCCTCTAGCCTAAGCTTTTAAATGACTCACAACGGTTATCATTTGACTCATTTAATTCTCCAAACTTTGAATGTTTGATCTCATCTCTTGCTAGAACTATTTGGTATTTAAAGTAATGGACTTAACTATTTCCTCCAAGGACTAACCTAAATTATAGGGGGACAAGTCGTTTAGCTTGATAATGTTGTTGTTGTTGATAACCTTACTGTCTTTGCTCGATAGAAAGTTTACTCTACTTGTCTATTGCCTCAAAAACTCAAGTTCGAATGATCCCTCTAACCGGGATTATACGAGTTGGAATAAGGACCATATTATCCTAACTATCTTAAAAAATTATTAGTATCATTGACTTGTTCAATAGATCCCTCTTAAAGTGTTGAGCATATATCTATGGCATGATTGGTAACTAAACAAATCCCACAAACCTTGACACCTTATATATTCTCCATACAATTGTCTCACCAAAAAGGTCAAATCGACATTTACCACTTAAGGCTTGAAATATTCACCTCGTTGACCTTCTTTGGTGTATGATCCATTCTTGTCCCAAACTACTCGTACGCTTATCGCCATATTAGAAATCGGGGCCTTTGTAGTATCTAGTGTCATCTCTATCGTTGCTCCTCCACTAACGACATCAATCATACTCGATTCATTGGTAACAAACTCTCATAAAAGTACATAATTAAAAGCTGATTAAATATCTAATAGTGTGGATAGCTTGTGAATAACTTCTTGAAATGCTTTCAATACTCATATATAACTTTCATTGAACTATCAAATATTACATATTTCTTTCCTTACACTTCTTCAAAGTCTTGTTTATAGCCACGACTTATGCTTCTTTCGAATCACTAGAAGAACTCTCGGAGAGAATTTCAAAGGCTATGTTGATTCTTGGTGAGGAAATAATAGTCGGTGTTTCTAATTTTGCTGAAATCCATTTAAAATCTCTCCTTAATCCGTGCAAAGTCCTCTCGGGTTTTGGATCAACTATCAAATCACCTATATGAGATGATCAAGGCATACACTACAAAAATTAACAAAATAATTAGTAACAAAAAAAAAACCAAAATAATAAAAAATTGATCGGAGGTAAGTTCGCCAACGAACGACACCAATTTTGTTAACTCGTCGAATGCTAAAAAATAATCTAGTTATTTTCTTACTAGACCTAATTACTAAAATATAGATAGGGTAAACAAGGATCGATCCCATAGAGAATTGGTTCAAACATTTATCAATTATTGTTTAATACTTTGGTAAACAAATAAATACAACATATAAAATAGATTAATAACAATGGAGATAATGATCGATTCTTGGTTCAATCTCCACTTATCACACTCAATGAATATAACCACAATAGGTTATTTGATTTTTCTTATTAAATTATTGGTCCTAGATAACAATAAATTTTATCATCCTAATTTTTTCTTAAGTATCACTAAATGAAACAAGCTCTTCAATTGGATGCTAACGGTAACACAACCTAAAATAAACTCTCTAGATTTAATGCATGACGACTTTAAGAATTAGGAAAATAGATCAATCTAAGCAATAATCTCACAAGTTCACATTATTTAACCTAGGTTATATCATTCATAGTAGTAAAAAATAAAAACTTGTCCATAATCATCTACTGCTATTTGCTACTAGGTGATTAAACAAAGGATAGTTACATGTATCCCAATTTCTAGAGCTAGCAAAGAAAATCTAAAAAAATCAATCTAGTCAGCCACACCAAATCAATCAAATAGAAATCATAAATCAAATAAATTTGAATAACATAATCCATTTAATTAAAGAGAGAAACATAATTGGATTACACCATTGATATGCTTATGAGAGTTTTGAAATCCCTTTAAACCGATGCAAAAGATTTAGTTACACATGCTAGTCAAAGCAAAATAATCAAATCCATCCGTTTTTCTACCAAAAAATCTTTATCTAATTGCCATCTTCCTTCTAACCTAAATATATAGATAATAACATGCTAGGATAGGAAATAAATAAGGTTACAAGGTCGTTTGTGGTATGACAAATGGCCAAAAACTTTGAGAAGAGTTAGACATATAGTCGTGTGTCATTGTTGCTTCATCACACACTCTAACATAAGCTTAAGCCTATGGATCTCGAGTAATTAGTTTAAAAGGACTTGATACATATCGAATTATAGTTTTCTTTCTTCATAAAAGTTATATCCCAATGTCTTATATTTCCAAAGCATTAATTCTTGCACCAATTAGAGATCCACGGCTTCAATTATGGGCTATATACTACCACCGACTTAACCTCGTCTATCCAACCTTAGGATTCGACTTTGTAACTAAATTCCTCCATTAGACCAACCTATTTTGGACTCGGGCCCATCATAAGAATTGTAGGTATGCCTCTTAAATATCTTATGGGCTTAGCCTTGCATTAATCGAGTTACAAAACTCTAGATATGAATTAAACATCGTAACTAATCTAGACTCCGAATAGGATTCGAATTAGCTTTCTAGACTAGAATATAAAATATCATTTTGAGGCCCAAATGAACTTGGATTTTGACCCACTGTATCATTATGGAAAGCTTGAGATGTGCTCTACAAAGTCTTTGAAGACTACTTCTTCCAAATCTAACTCTAAGGCTTCGAAAACTGCAAGAAGCCTAGAAGGTCTAAGGCCTATTCTATCCACCCTAACAATTGAGCTAATCGAAGAGTAAAGTTAGTTTGTGGTGGTGTTAAGTGATGAAATGGTCGGAGGTAGATTAAGATCTAAAAATATTTTGAGTTTTTTAATTGAATTTTTATGTATTTTTTGTACATTAAAATGAGTTTTGAGGTTTTAAACAAGTTTGTTGATGTTATTTTTGTGATTTTAAAGTGTTTTTGGACAAAAATATGACTCGAATTTGATTTTGAGAGGTCAAAAATGATAAAACCTAACTTTTTGATGACTTTTCTAGTGAATCAATGTCGCAAAAAATTACGAGAGGTCGCACTATTTTTTTTTCTTTTCTTTTCTTTTGCCTAAGCCCGAGCGTTCATGCTTGGTTCTTGGTTTTTGTTTTTTTTTTTAATTAAGAATTTTTAGGAGATAAGTATGTAATATTGAACATTATTATTTATGTTTTTCATGCAGCATAGCGAGGATGAAATATATATACTACTTTTTTATATTTTAAAATTATATATATTTCATATTATATTACTTTTATTATTTAAAATTTATTTTTTGAATTTGTCATTTCTTATGAAAATTCTCAACCAATTATCATTTTTTTATAAATTTTTTTTATATTTTTTATTCTAGAATAAAATTTTAAAACATGATTTAAAAAAAGAAATTGATATAATATATTTCATAAATTTTTAGAATTTTTAAATGATAGTTACACACACACACACACACACACATGTTAATCTAAAAGTTTAAAAGTGTATTTCAAATAATTTGTGTCAATCCACTAAGTATGATCAAGATGTATAAAAAAACTATTGAATTATCGATTTTATTAAAAATTAACTATACATTTTCACACATAACATGTACTTTGAATATATTTTTTTTTAACATTGTAGAATCAATTTCTTTAAAATAAAATAATTAAAATATTTTTTTAAGGAACCATTCATTTATTTAAATACAATTTTTTATGCTAACATTATTAATTAATTTGTAAATAAGTATATATAAATCAAATGCATATATTTTCAAAAAATAATATTCCCATCATCATTAAACAAAAATAAAATTTTATTTTTTATTAGTTAATTTTTATACAAATCTATATATTAATTGTAATGCAAAAAATTATATTTTAAAGTATTTTTTTAATTGTTGATTAATATTTTAATTTAAATTATTAAAAGTTTTTATTTAAACACCAATGCATAAAGAAGAATAAATCATGTTTTCTAAGTAAAAAATTTATGAAAAACACAAATAAATAATTTTAATGAAAAAAATATAAAATTATTTTATTCTAACTGGCCCACAACATAGAGCAGATAACCGACTGGTATTAACTGAAATAAAATTTACAAGCAACGCATCACCCGTTCTGCTTGGTTGTAAGTTGCTATAATTGGCTTCTTGTTTGTTTTCTTCTGCCTCTTCCTCAAAAGGCTCGGTAACTTATCTTTTTAATGAAACGGCTAGGAAAAAATCAAAATAAATGATCGGATCAGGATAGGTGCAATTGATGGCAAAACCGCATGTCAAATTTGATTGGAACATATAACCTAACAGTAACCAAATGCTGAGGGTGATCCAATGAGCTGACGTAATTTAATTTTGGACAAATTCCTTTATTGATATGCTATACAACAGAAAAAATAATTATACACAGGTGAAAACTACAAGAAAAGAAAAATGAAAAATAACTCCCTCTGTAGTTCCAACCTCCACGTATCTACAATAAGGATTTTGTGATTTCAATGAGATGCATGATTAATACGATGAAAGGGCGATCCTGAACATCAACCGCATATATTCTCACCTTTTGGTCGAATAACTACATAAATACTCTATTGGATCGTGATATGACTGGAGCGTGTGGCCCAAGAAGAACATTTCAAACATGACAAAATCACTTTGAAATAGCTTCTTTTTCTTATGAAACATCTGGTTAGAGATCCAAGCCTGTCCTTGTTTCTATTGCAAATTCGAGACAGGTGAGAGTCTCTCTTCCAAGCCTTCAAGCAGATCATGGTATTCGGAAAATGCAGGGTGCGACTGAAGCACAAATCGAGAAGGCAGGGTGAGACTCCATAAAAACATTATTATTTGATTAATCAGCAATGCTCTGAAAGAGGATTACCTGAAGGGTAACGCTATATGCTTTCCACAGCCTCATATCATGCCGGAAAAGATCAAAAAGAACCTGTTGAAAAACATCACAAGGAATTAGCTTCGAAGACAAACCATTTTCCAAACTTGGCATAAGACATCATGTGCTCTCATGTTTCTGTCCATCTGCCTATTTTATGAAACTACGAGTGGCATCTATGTCTCTCTTTCTACATGTGGGGTTAGTGGTGGTGGGAGGGAGGGAGGGAGGGAGGTTAAGGAAAGAGCGATCAAGTTATAACAGAGAAGCAAACTTAACAGAAATCATGAGCATGTGCATGCAGATGAAATAATTTGCAATGTCTTAACCCAGTCAATCGAATGGAATAACACCCAGAAGCCCCTGCTAATGCACTGACGTATCTCATTCAGTATTTAATTATTAGTATTACATTAAAGGAAAGGAAGTTTGAAACTTCCAACGCACACTAGGATTACAGAGATATTTTACCAATAACAACTAAAGCATTTTGGACCTTTCAGGTTGAGCAAAAGCCCAAACAACCCCAAAAGGAGAAGTTATAAGCTTCAAGCAAAAATCAAACAAATCAGCCTTCAAAGAAGTTTGCAGAAATAAAGGATTCGCCAAAAGATGGAAGGAAAGATGAGCAGAACAGAGTGAGCTAGCATGCTCATGAGACTACAGTAAAGCCAAAGTACATATACACACATAAAGCTCATTATACCTCAGCCCGTCTTAGGAGTGTAGCCAGAACAACTATCCATTCCTTGAACTTGACAGAACACATATGAGCCAACAGAAACTCTGCATCCAACCGGCTTTGCAATGTACCCATTTGAAGCTGGAAACATACAATAAAGGTTCTGAGGATAAAAATAAAATGCGAAAACTTTCAACTAACAATGAACAAAATATTAATCATGGCTAGATATTGCTTCAGGGAGTATAGCAAATATGATAATGATATCACAACTAATGCAATTTATGTGAGATGTTTCATTAGTCTTAACTAAGGATACTTGTACAAGAATTTTGATTTCAATCTGTTACTAGCTCAGAATAAGGTGATTAAAACAAAGACTACCGCTGGTTTACCACGAAATGGCTTTAACAAGTTACCTAACTTTCTATATAAAATGTGCAGCAAAGAAAGATGTTACAGGAGTCCTAATATGCTATTTCCAATTTTTTGTCCAAGGGAAGAGATGAGAGAGAAAGCCATGCTAAGCAGTCAATATGCAACTTTCTAAAAGAAACGCATTTTGAGCACTGAGGAATTTTAGGATGTTCACCTTCTGCCCAATTAGTTCCAGCCCTGATGCAAAATTCTCCAAGCGAGCACTACCGTATCTTTCTCGTTGAAGGTATTCCTACAATCAATTCACAATCTTAAAATACCATACAAAGAGCAGATCATCCTTCAAGAAAACTGTAGGTTTTGCTTACCACTAAATCAAACTGGGTGCCTTTTACAAAAGCCACAAGCTTGGAAAGTTCTTTCCCTGACATCAAATAGCTAGCATGGCTTTCTAAAATATTCTTCACAGAAGCAACATGAGCACTTTGCTCTTTGAAGGAAGTACTGCTTCAAAGAAAAGGCACCTGATTAGTTAGTAACTCTTGGGATGTTAAGTATTGCAAGGGTCTGAAAAAGAGAACAAGGTGAATACATCAACCTCTTGTCCAATGATGGCTTCTTATAACTGGAACGGAAAAGAAAATAACCCAAAAATCTGGGAGATAGTCTTTCTGAATCATTCGATGTCTGGTCATATTCCTTTCCAGACCTCAGCAAAAAGCGCACCTAATAACGACAGCAAAACAAAAGGAAATAAATGCACCGTCCCATGTTAGGTCTGGATATCATTTGTTGAAGAATAATCATTCCCGGGGTAATACCAGTTCTCCAGCAAGCTCATATAAAGATTCGTCCAGTGTTGCCTGCATAAGGTTGGTAAAACTTGTCAGATATGTAACATAGAGAAAACGAAAAAGAAAGAGAGAAAAGTAGCTGCTGCAAACTACTAGCATTTGCCTACCTGCAATAATCGTAAAGCACAGTATTGACTGACTGCAGGACCTTCAAGTTTTGCAATCACCTATGACATTCATGAAAAGGAACAACTTAATTGAACACAATTTTGACTACAATGCATTCTCAGTACCAACTTGCACGCATAAAAAGCAGAATGCAGCTCTTGAATCTCGTTCATAAATCATGCCCTTGTGAGAATGGATAAGCTTCTTCTTTTTCCTTTTTATCATTGCTACTCTCGTGCAAAGATTAGAATTTGTGTCTTGCCAACCAACACAATCCCTTATTAAATAAATACACGATAATTTAAGAGTATAACCATTCAGTTAAAACAAGTTAAATCATCGAGTATAAACCATTGGGTAATGCTAGGGATACTAACACTTTTTTACCAACTCATATATCATCCATGATACAGGAAAGGTTTTAAATCACAGCGATGTGAGTATATGCGTTTAATGATATACTTACCAGTACAAAATAGGACAAACTAATATAGCACCTATCATCAACCACCACATCATTTAGTGTAAAAAAAAACATGTTTGCAAAATTTTTTGTATCTCTAGCATTACGCATTACCATAAAAAAAATCCCTGTGATAAAGAAACATGACTGTATGTGTTGTTTAAAAGTGACCATATAGCATTATGCTTAAGTTTACAGTCAGTTGACCAGAATTTGTCTTTCTTGGCAAAAACTTGAAATGAGAAGAAGAAAGAAAACCATGAAATACTTGTATCCCAAAGTTATTACATACAAAAAATTACAAAAAATACACACATTTGCACACATGAACACACATATATAACAGCAAGAGATATTCAAAAGAGAAGAATGCAATTCTTACAAGTATATAACAAGCTGCAGTGCGATACCATCTCCGTTGGAAGCATTCTTCAAACAACCTTAAACATAAAAACAGCAAAAAACCTATTAATATGAAGTGGTACCAGCATTGTCTACCCCAGAGCAAAATGGGGAAAAAAAAAAAGAAAAATCCATCATATCACCTTTCAAACTTATGAATGAAACTAAAATGTCTATCAAGATAGAAATTTGCTCACAGGCTGATGGGGTGAAATGGCAGAAATCATTGTTTCTACACTTCCGATTCACTAACATCAAAAGTCAAACATTTAGCACCCCCATTTTCATAAATTAGTAATGGGTGAAAGTAAACCAATGCATAGCCTGATTGGTAGCCAGAGGGCTAAACCTTTCCCTGGGCAAGAACACTGCTCTTCCCTAATCCTATATAATCAACAGAGAATAATGTGTAGAAAATGAAGAATAAAAGAGTGCAGTAAACACCAAGGCACGGTTTTGTTTAAAGAATACCAGGAAATAAGTTATTTTTTCTTGCCCAGGCCAAACTGTGCGCTAAAAAGGGCGCAGACCTTGCATGCAAGCACCTAACCATGTCTGTCTAGCACCTACACAATTGTCCAAAATCTAGAAGGAAGCAAGAACAGAAATAAGATGATTTTAAAGCCACACTTCAAATACTGATGCATGTGTAAATACCACCTTCTTCGTTGCACAATGTTCCTGTCTAAATATCTTTGAGAATTACCGTACAAATGTGTGACAAAATTGAAAAATAAAAGGTATCTCTGTAAGGAGCAGAAAGTATTACTCTGTAGATCTTCCAGCAGCAGAAAATAAATCTGCCCAATGTCGACCATCAGTTTTTCTTGCAACGCTCACAACTACATCAAGATACTCAGAGAAATTTCTGATCAAATCACAGGTTTTCTCCAAAAGAGTGCGATTGCCGGCATGTTTGGGGACTGATATCTGGTTCTTGTTCGCATTTTGCCTGCAAGTACTTTAATTTAGAAAGCCAATAACAGAGTTCATACTGATTGTTTAAATCAGTACATATAGACAAATCAAGGAACTTCATATCTTCCAAAACGAAAAACAATGAGTTTAGTTACTTAACTAAGGAGACAGGTTAAATGGGCATGTGATTATGCCTGTATTTATCACATGCCCGTAAACAAAAAAATACCACTAGAAGCTGTAACCACAAAGTGTCTTGGTTACGGCCATTGAGTTCAAACAGTAGTAATGTGGAATGAAGTTGGCTTAGAAGCCAATTGGTTGCATATTTCAGTAATATCTCCCTCCCCGATGAAGATTCTAGGCATTGATCTTCTAATTATCATACATGACATAGTTCATTCTCTCTTCACCAAATTGACATACCTTGAAATTTCTGCATCAAATACGGTAAAAGAAGCCACTCCAGGCAATGGGAAAAGTGAGGCTTTTCTGCTGATAATTGTGCTAACCGTAAAGCCTCCTCTTTTTTGTCCCTCTGGCAGACAGAAAATCAGAAACAGAATTAGTAAAGTATGCCTTAAAGCTACTAAGGAACATGAGCATGCGGCTTCAGCAACTGACTTGTTTCAAAACAGGACTTGCATATAGGCAAGCACCTTTTTTACCACAATGGCAAAACACAAGATGGACCCATACAGCCAGCTAGTTTGGAATTGGACCATCATGGTAAACACCACAAGGTAAAACCCTTCTTGTTGTGCTACCACCACATGGTAAATACCTCATGGCATTTAATAGTGATGACTTCCTATGACAAGTATCATCATGTAATCAATAATGTGTTACAATTTTGACGTGTGATGTTGGATCATGAAAATCGGAGACCAAAGGCAAAACGACTAGATAGAACAAGCATTTTATTCACTCAGGCAATCAGTGAGCAGTTAATTTATGGATAATTAAAAAAAATTGCATGGAAAAAAAATACATTTTCATCCCCAGGACCAATTTGTTTCTAGCTCCAAAGTAATAGTAACACTGCAAAAGTAAAGTACTAACAGCCAAAGCCAAAGAAGTATCCAGATGCTGGCTTGCCAATTGCTCAGCTCACAGCCTAACTGCTTAGTGATCAACAAAATCTCGTCATATATAAATTGATGATTCGTACACAGAAATTATGTTGCACATGAACTGAAGCAAACTTCTTATTCTAAAATGACAGTATTTGATTGAAGTAACAACTATTAGCAAAAGAAGAAAATGCAAGAGGCATGCTACAAAGTTTCCAAAAACCAAGTCCAACAATCTTCCTCCTTCTAAGGTTATGTTTGGTAAGGGATTAATGGGGGTTAGTATTTTTTTTTTTTTTTTTTTGGTTGGGGGGGGGGGGGGGGGGGGGTGTGTGTGTGTGTGTGTTAGTCATTAACCCTCAAACTGGTGTTTTTGGAGGGTAGCAAGGAGGGTAAAATTTAACATCCAAGCAATTATTTTTTTCCCAGTCTCTCTCCGTTTTGTCTCAAAATAAACACCAAATAACTTTTTATTTCTCTCTCGCCAACCATTACTAATAACTTAATTACTCTCTCTCTCTCTACTAATAATTTCCCTTCAGTTATTAACACACCACCAAACATCCTTTAAAACTAACTTTTACACCCTTAAAAGTTCCTCTCTTAATAATTCACCCCCATTTTTTAACCTTGCACCACACAGCACCAAAGTAAAAATCCAAAGCAAAAGGAAAGAGAAGTAGCAATAAAAGAGTTGTGATACCTGAAGAAGGTGTCTGAGTAAGCAATGTAATATAGTTTGAGCTTGAGGAGATGGCTCAAAACATGGAAATTCAGTGCAAGCTGAAAAAGACATTCTCTGGGAGACACCAACGACAACGCCTGCATTTGGAAGAAGGCCGAGAGGATACACTTCACGATCAAATTCCAGCTCTGGATCCAACTAAAAGATAAATCATAAAATGTCAAGTTAGGCCTCTTCAGGATATAACAATCAGGAACCAGACTCAAATCACTGAAAACAAAAAAGGACTGCTAAAATATATATAAAACCGACATAGATGGATGGAGTACAAAATAAGCTAAATCAAACACATGCAGTATCAAATAATGATAGGAAGAGAGAAGGATATAGACTCCTTGTAAATAAAGATATGTAACCATAGTGCTAATATCACAGTCAAACCAGAATTTTTATGAAGCCAAGTCCATTTTACTGACTTCAAATAAACTAACTCGGGCAAAGCTAATCAACAATGATTAAAATTTAAATTGGGGATTACACTGGCAAGTTCCTTTGTCTATCTATTCAGCTTAGAGATTTCACAACCAAAAAAAAAAAAACAAAAGAATTTACATCCAGCACATAAACAAAATTCACAACTCGTGTTCCATGTCATCTGCCAAATGCCACAGTATAAGGAGCCTTAATGTTACCTATTACATACATACCTGCAAAAAGTCTTCCTGCTTAAAAGGATCAGCACCTGGAGACGGATACCAGACCTGTAATAAAAAAAATTCCAACAAGATCTGCATCAGACAAGAATAGTAGCCAAACACTAGAAGTGATCAATGATAGAAGCTAATAATAGCTAGTAGTATATTAAAAAAAAAAAAGATTATAGAGCTTAGCACTAAATTACCTGCATGCCCCGGTGGCCATAATCCAGCCAAGAGACTTCCTCAATTAGACTTGTCTTCTCCTCTGATTGACCACATATAACCCAAAATAATTCAACAGAGTCAGTGAGCTCTCTTTCCCGTCCATCATCCAAATCCAAAAGTGAAAGTTCCCCATTTGTTCTCAGTATCAAACATCTAGTAAAATGTGCAGTCATTCAGAGGCATGTGGTACACACAAAAAATCCATCAATATTTGCAAAGATGAATACCTTGCAGGCTCTCTGTCCAACAAATCCGAAGATGAAATATAATTGTCTGAGGCCAACTCTCTTTGAAGCTGGTCAGGGATGAAACGCATTGCAGCAGGATGGCTCTTTGCAGTCATGATAGAAAGTTCTCGTACTGTAGAAAGCTGTTTGTCATTTTATCACTTAAAAATGTATGAAGAATAAGGTTTTATTAAAATACTCACATTCAGAGTGCAAAATTAAACTTCAAGAGCATATGGATATCAAAAATATTCCTATCAGTTACAATGTCTAACAAAAACAAGCTGGAAAATATTCATTTACCTGCAAATCTGGTGTGCTAGAAGGAGTCAGTTCTCCTAGCAATCTCACATGGAATATGTGGACATCAAACGGGCGATAGGTGACAAGTATATAGTCTTGATAGACATCCATCACCATTGGTTTAGCAAGCAATGGCTTTCGACAAAGTAAGGAGCTCTGGTCAAGGTGGTATCTTGGATAAAAAAGTAATTCATACCTGCAGAAAACCAATTATTTGATTATTAAACAACTATTGCAGGGACAGACAAGATAAAAATTGTAAATTTACCCAAGACACAAACCAAGAAGGACCGGTGCCATAGAGAAATGGCTTAAAAAATCAGCAAGGCCAGGACCAAGCCTCACCTAGGCACTTTTGTGGACAAATGGAAAAAAACATTTTGATAACCCTCCAGTGGCTTCTCAATTGTGGAATCCTAGAGCTTTTTTATGTCAAATCCTCGTGCCAACTTCAACTTCTCAACAAATATTCTTCAGTTCGAAGTTAGACTTTACTCTCTATATCTTTTTTCTGGATAGTATCGAGTCCAAGTCCTAATACAACAAGGTAGAAACTAGAGTCCATAAGCACCTATATAATCTTAGTGTTTACTAAGATTTTTATAATGGACTTACAGGTATTTGATTTTATTTCTAAGGGCCATGTCTCAAGCGCCGTGTCTATGTACCTACCACATAAATCCTAATTCTTCCTACATCAAAAAGACAAAATCAAAATCAAAATATCTCAGATTCCATTGCTTCCCTACCCTATATCACTATTTGCAACCACCAGATTTTGTTCTTTTCTTCAATTAAACCAGTCCCAATTCTCACACCCAAAGAACCAGAAGGGTTGAGCAATCTACCTAATCATAATTCCGGGGGAATCATATAACACTAAACACTGTGACAATTGAACAATTTAAGAATAAATAAATATGCAGTGGGCACCTTCTGATAAAAATTAGTCAAATGACTCAAATATGTCCTATATCAGATAGTTCCCACTGCAGATCTATGGATACATGAGGTACAAATTTTGTTTCTACAAGAATATACCAGCTTAGAAGTAAGAATAACCAAGCATATATGTAAACAGGCATTGATAACTCACATGTTAGAAGAATCAATGTAGTTGCAGACAACAACAATCTTTCCCAGCCATAACAACCCTTTGCACTGAATCTTTTGTTCTTGAGTAATATCTCCAAATACTCGCCACTTTTTCAACCGTATATCATATAAGATCAACCCATGGAGGCCAGCAACAGCTAAGTGCATTCCATCCTTGCTAGCCGCAACATGTTGAACTGGCCAGTTTTGGGAGATATAGGAAACCTAAGCCAGAGCAAGTGCATATCAGAATCAATAAATTGCAAAGACAACTAACTAGCGACGACAATCAATAACTAAGTTTGCTATTTGAACACATAACTGGAAGGTTTAGATGTAAAAATTTGAGTTCATTGGTATCTTCGGACTGTACAACAAGCAACCGATCTTCGCCATAAATAACTTGACGAACATATGTCATTCCTGAAACTCCTCTGGAAAGGCAGCATTTGCCGAATGAAAATGCAATAACTCTTTCCAGAGATTCTTCTTCAATCACATAAAGCTTATAACCATATTCATCCCATTGCATCAATGAGGAGCCATTCATCAATGGTTCATATTTACAATCTTGGTTTGGCTTAACCTTTGGAGAAGATGCAGAACTTAAACCAATTTGACGAATTGTTGACATCAAACGACAGCCAGATACCGACCAGACTGTAAGACCTCTTAGCTTCCACCCAACAGCAAAAGCAGAATTATCAGGTGTCCATGCGATACAACTGACAGGACCAGTATCATCCATTGAATAGCTGCAAAATAATAAGACCATGACAGAGAAGCTTTCAAACTTCATGAACTAAAAGTCCAAACACAGGAAGCACGTGTCATCGCTTCAAGTCACAGGCCAGATGCAGATGATAATCTAAAAGTGAGGAGGTTAGTCTGGAAAACCTTGGATGAGGTAAATAAGTTTTAAGGAACATCCTCATTGTATGTCGTTAATAGGTGGAAGCAAATGATCATTTCAGAAATCCTGAAATTTTGAGTTCAATGCCTAAAGAACAAATGCTCAGAACTATCGAACCACCTCACCCAGACAGTAACTCTAATGACAGGATGCAAGAAACTTACCCCCAGTCATACAAAGACACAGAACGAATGAGAGATGCAGATTCTGCTGGGTCGTATAACTCAACAACCCCTCTTCTGGTACCAACAGCAAGGATTTGTTGATCTGAAGCTACTGACATACATACAGAATCACCAGAACCCAACTTTTTTTCAGCTTTGATATACTCAACTTGCTTTAAGCCTTTCTTGCTTACAGAGCATGATACTAGTTGTCCATCAGCATATAAGACAAAAAGCAACCTCATCGGCAAGCAAAGCTCCAGCTGCCCGATAGCAGTGTTCCTGGTGATATTATGATTAGATACAGAACCTGCTGGAGCCCTTCCAGAAGCAACACCGTTACCTAAAGAATGAGGTGAAACGGAGGCATCACTGCTGTCACGTGAACAGGGATCAAGTTCAAAAGCTCCATAGAACTGTTAAGAAATTAAGATAAAATCAAAAAGGAATTCACTCAACAGCCTATGATAAAGACACTTGTCAACTCTAAATGAAAGAAACATGGTGAGCAATAATGATTGATGCCTATTCTATTTGATTACCTCCCCTTCCAGGAGATACTGTATAAAGATCCATTGGAAAGTCCTAGTAATAGATGTTTGTTGTCGCTTACAAAATTGCTCCTGCCAAAAATATATATATATATTAGAGGAAAACTATCAAGACACAAGAATTATATAAATTAAAAAAAATCTCAAAAACACTAGCATTATATGCAGCGCAAACATATATACAATAGTATGCAATGTGAAATCCACATTAGCATTTGGATGTTCGAAATCAAATTGAAATAAGAATTAGCCCCACCCTCCCCTGAAATAGAAAAGAGCAGGCAAGGTTACTTACACTGTCAAGTCCTTGTCTGCAAAAGGCACTTGCTCACTAAGAAGAAGCGATATATTAGCAAGAATTAAACCAGATGGTTGCTTCCCTCCTATTTGTATTCTTTTATCAGAGAACTGAACCTTGAATATATGTAGAAAAAAGGATGATGTCTGCAAACAATAAAAAGCATACATATAAGCAAAACTATCAGAATTAACTTATCATAAACTCAATGCATCCAGACTTTATTTTCAGACCAGACGTCAAAAAAATTAAAAACAAAATGAATTAATTAAACCACTCTTCGTGCCACTTTGTCTACATCATTATCCCTATAAAAATAAAAATAAAACAGAAGATTATCACCATTAAACTAACTAAAGAGTACAATAATTTAGTTTATAGCGCCAACTTCTAGTTCCAGCTGTACATCTAGTGAAGCTAACTAGCTAAACTCACTCTCCAAGTCTAATGGTCTTCAAATTTCAAAAGAATTTTGACAGAAATAGATAAGTGCACCGCTTTATTTCTACAATGTGATTCGACCAAAACTATGTAGATGCATTTTGCAAATCGTGTAATAGGTAAATGTATGTGAATATCTTACACGAGAACTATCAAAATTTGCGATAAATCACAAATGTAATAGTATATATAAAAGAAATCAAAATTCAAAAAATACTTACAAGAATGGCGATCAATTTGGCATCAGGACTCCACGCCGCTTGTAAATTCTCACCTTCTCTCTCCAACGACTCCGCATTCCTCTTATACTTGCCTAATCTCACTTTATGCTGCAGATAATCACATAAACCAACAAAAAAAAAATCACAAATCTAAAACCATAATCTTCCAGAATCAAACAAAAATAAGCACAAGAATGTGATCATAAGCTCCATGTACATATGAAAATACCTGAGAAGAGCTCCAGAGCTCAAGGTGTGAAGGCGAGACAACAAGGAAAAGGCGATTGATGACTTTGAAATAAATGATATGCTGCTGTGAAGAAGGACAGAGTCCTTGTTCTAAAGGAATCACCTGCGGCCATCCATATGCCATATACATCTTTGATTCGGTCTTGATGCGTTGATTTATTTATTTGGAGAGACCAATCTAGAAGTGATGTATGGAATTTTATGGAGACGTTGTTAGGTTTTGAGAGACAGAGGGAGATCAGGTGCATTTCCAGGGAGAGTGATGCAGTAGCGTGGCATTTTCTTTTCATTCCATTCAGGTAGATCTCCCGGATCCATTAATTTTAGCGGTGATGGTTGTTTTTAGGGTCTATAGCATATTTGAGTCTTGATGGGAAAAACGACGTTGCTCCCAACTAAAGGCATCGAAGGTCCAAGGGGAGTTTATGCTTTATACGGTGCGTTGGATGGGACACTATTCGGTCTTTGGCTCTTCGCCCGTCCGTGGGGAAAAGGAAAAACCCAACTTAGTCTCTAATCTATATAACTATTTCAATTAGATCCTGTACCTATAGATTTTATAGATTAGATTCCAAATGTTTCCGGCATTTCTTGGCATGGTCCTTTTGTAGTTCGTTTTAGTGTTTTCCATCTAATGTGCATATATTATGCTACAAAATGATGTTATTTTAAATAAATTTTAATGAAAAAGTTGCTAGGCATTGATGGAAGAACCTGATTGAGAATTTTTTAAAATGTTTGAGATTAAATTGATAAAATTTATGAATTTTGAATTCAATTTAGAATACATGTATCAGTTACCAGTTAAATTGAGGGTTTTTTACAAAAAAAAAAAAAAAAAAAGGGATTACTATTGAGATGTCGATTTATCCAATGAGCATGTCTCTTGTACTTATTGTTGTTATTGTTATTTAGGGTTTTCTAATGCAAGAGCAAGTTGAAATAAATAAATAAATAAATTGTATGTATTGTTCTAGTGACGATGGTATACTTAATATACATTGATAAAAAAAAACTTAATCTCATTATATAAACATTGATCAAATAATATTTTGCTAAAATAATAAACAAATATCTAAAATAAGATTCATATCTCATATACTTTTTTTGTTTGGTCAAATGTTTCTTAAATTTTATAATTACTTTTTTGTTAAAAAAACAACAAAAAGATTGAATATTTTTAGAATCATTGAAACTAAAAAGGATGACATGATAACTTGTCTAATTATGTTTGTTTTAAAATTAAATTGTATATGATTTAACTCTAAGTCCAAGACAATTTTTTCTCATTAATTCTTTTTTTTTTTTTTGTGGATAGATTATTTTTTATCGAATTAAAAAAAAGTAGATTTAATTTTAATAAAGACAATTTAGCTCAAGATTACAATCTAATTTTTAATTAAAAAGAGTTTAAATCATTAATTATAGTTATCATATTCATAAGAGATTGAAGTATTTTATATAATATGAACTATAATAGCATAAAGAGGGATGGATGGAGTTGAAAAAATACATGTGAACGAGCCAAGTCATTTAAGAATTTGATGGTTAAAGTAAAAAATGTAGACGATAATTAAAAATATATGATAAATTTGAAGAGTTTTTCTTTCGTTTTTTTTTTCCTCTTTAGATCAACTTTGATATATGGATAAATGTTGCACTTTTTAGAACTTCGAAGGGCTTATGGTGAAGACTAACTATTGAACCCGAGGTGAAATTTAACTTATAAAATTTTAAAGGTGCCAAGTTCTTGAAATTATCACTTAGTTCGCGAGAGGCTAAAAACTTCAACACTATTGATGGGTATCTCTCTCTTTGCGGTTTAAAGAATCTAAAGATGCAGATCATAGAGAAAGAAGTGCCAAACTACGGGATCATTGAAGATTTTCTATTAACTTTTTACCATTATTTAATTCTAAAATTGTTCTTCTTTGTCTCACAAAAAGGAAAAAAACAATAAAACACTACAAGTGTAGATACTTGGACCTTCCAAGTGATATATACGAGAGAAAATGAGAGAGCAGAAGAAATCCAATTAAATTGGGAGGAGAAGAAAGGGGCCTAAAATCCATAATTGAACTAAGGATTCTTCAAATAAACACTCGAGAAGAATTTTATGGGTAGAACGTAAACTACTAGACAAGACTTAAACTACTTGGACCAGCTTTATTGTTAGTCGAACTTGGGTTTTTAGACTTTTGAGCTAATTATAATAGGTTTGGATATTATTGAGTTTTTAGTTTGGTTTCTGCTATCTAAAGAAAATGGTTGTTATTTGTCTTGTAAAAGTTATCGATTGTTATTATCTTTACGAGCATAAAGAACAAGTAAAATAGAATGTCGGATACATAAACAAACTTTTTCCTTTCTCTTTCTTCTCTCGTCTTCTTCTTTTTCTCTCTCTCCATCTTTGCTTTTTCTCCCTCCAATTCATTTTTTTCCACTATCGGTGTATCACCGGGACTATAATAACACAAAGAGGGATGAAGTTGATTAATTACATGTGAATGAGCCAAGTAATTTAAGAATTTGATGGTTAAAGTAAAAAATGTAGACAACAATTAAAAAATGTTTGAAAATTTTGAAAATTTTTTATTTCTTTTTTCCTCTTCAAATCAACTCGATAAATGGATAAATGTTGCACTTTTTAGAACTTGGAAGGGCCCATGTTGAAGACTAACTATTGAACTAGGGGTGAAATTTAACTTATAAAATTTTAGAGGTGCTAAGTTCCTAAAATTATCATTTAGTTACGTGAAAGGTCGAAAACTTCAACACTATTTGTGGGTATCTCTCTCTTTGCAATTTAAAGAATCTAAAGACGCAGATCATAGAGAAAGAAGTGCCAAGCTATGGGACTGCTCGAAGATTTTCTATTAGCTTTTTACCATTATTTGATTTTAAAATTGTTCTCCTTTGTCTCACAAAAAGAAAAAAACAATAAAACAATGTAATGTAGATACTTGAGCCCTCCAAGTGATATATGTAGAGAAAGAGAGAGAGCGAGAAGAAATCCAATTGAATTGAAAAGAGAAGAAAGGGGCCTAAAATCTCTAATTGAACTAAGGATTCGTCAAATAAACACTTGAGAATAATTTTATAGATAGAACTTAAGCTATTAGGCGGGACTTAAACTACCGAGACCAGCTTTATTGTTAGTTGAATTTTGGTTTTTGGACTTCGAGCTAGTTATAGTAGGTTTGGATATTATAGAGTTTTTAGTTTGGTTTACGCTATCTAAATAAAATGGTTGTTATTTGTCTTGTAAAAGTTATCGGTTGTTATTATCTTTATATTATGAAGAACAAATAAAATAGAATGTCAAGATACGTTCTTCTCTCATCTTCTTCTTTTTCTCTCTCTATCTCTCGTTCTTTCTCCCTCCAATTCATTTTTGCCATTGTTGGTGCATCACCAAGCATCATTTAGAGTTGTGGTTAGTGTTCCACATCCTAAATATATATATATATATATATATATATATATATATTCTTCTTTAGTAACCATGCAATAACTTTATGCACAACATAAATACAAATATTTGATGAAATTAGAAATATTGATTAATTCGTATCGACTTAATTGGATATTGAATAAAGATTGTGTAAATATATAATTACTTTTATAGACCGACATAAAACTTGATATCCGAATATATGTATCCATGTTAATAATTTAAACCTCACATTTGCATGCATGGTAAATTACTTGTATAGTTTAATATTATGTGATGTAGATGAATGTACTTTACACTTATTGAAATGGGAAAAAGAATAATAAAAAGAAAACTTGTTGATGACAAAAGTGAGATTAAATAATTATTTTATTTTTTTGTCAAAATAGGAAATTGCATAGATGAAAACGCTTAAACTCTTAGGATGCAACATATTAGACCAATAAAGGTCTCTAACATAGACCAAGTAATCCGACGAGATAGAATTCAAGCTAAATTCGAACTCAATAAGTGGTTTCAAGGCCATAAGGAATCCGAGAAAAACAAACATTAGGCATTTGGCTTATTGGATGGCTCGTAAGTGTGCTTCCTCGCATCCTCCATTGCAATCAAGTTGCATAACGCCTTTTGTTAAGGTGTGTTTGGTGATGAGAAATTACTTAACCGCACCCATCATTGTCCAAACACTCTCCTCTTTGTACTCGAGAGAGAGGTATAATTCCATATATATTGAATAGTTTCTCGCAACTCCATGTCCTTGCCAAATTATATTTTTAACAGTTTGTTTGTTTTGCAAAAAGAATATTTTTCAAGAAAATATTTTTTCCTTTTTTAGTGCAAAACAAACACTGAAAAATAAGTCAATAAAAAATATTTTTCAATCAATTTATATGCATTTTAACCTTAAGAATAGGAAAAATATTTTTCTTAACACTATTAACTCACAATACTCATCAAATCATAACTTAATCATTGTTAATATTGCCACTACCACTATCTTACCATTGTTAGTGTCATTACAACCATAATTTTATTGTTAATATAACTATCGTTATATCATCATCCCACCATAACCCTACAACACTATCAATAACAACCAACATCATCTGGTCACCCCTATTTGATTGTGTATGTAGCCAACACTTTGTCATCATTTTTACATCACTTCAATACTATTACTAATCATTATAACAATAATCACTACTTTAATTGTTGACGGTCATTGCTATATCATTTTATTATTAATGTCATTTTCAACATTACCACAATAACCATCATCACCGTCGTTAATATTATTACAATCACTATCATAAATATCACCACCATTATCGCTTTTATCACTAACACCAATTTTTCTTCTCTTATAATCATCATTCAAAAACAACTAATAAAAAATATTTTTTTAATAAATTCGGACAACAAAAAATAACTTGGTAAAATATTTTTTTCCAAACAAATGGACCCTAAAAATTCTATAATTACTAAATTGGCACCTTTCAACCACCTATAAATAACAATGGCTCGAAATCTCAAGTCGTGCGAGGCAATAAGGATTGAGGAAGAGAGTCCAAGCACTATTTGGATATACTTGAATTATAATCGGGTACCATACGTAGAAAGTTTCAAATAATGGGTGATGAAGGTAACCATCCGAAATTTTGTCGGGTAAATTTTGATAGGTACAATAATTAATAGCCTAAACTATATATTTTTATCTTCCATTTTAAACCCGTAGAAGTTAAACTAATAAATATTCAAAACCCAAAATGCAAAGGCTAAAATGTTTGATGGGTAACAAGAAATTTTATAATACACAATGAGTAACTAGTGATATGTACAGTAGTTACTTTATGGATCCACTTTGAGAAGAGAGATAGATACAAAAAAAAAAAAAAACAAGAGAGAGGAAATAAAAAAAATTGAGCAAAGTTGGAAATATTCTCATCGCTTTTGGTGGATCCGGATGTAATTTAATGTATCTATCTCTTTTTTTAAAGTGGATCCATAGAGTAATTACCGTACATGTCACTAATTACTTCTTGTGTATTATAAAATTTCTCGATAGTTAACAAATAGCAAAAAATTTGGGCTGTATTGGGTGGGATATAAAATCGGATAATGGAAAAACAAACTTGAAGTTTTTTTTTTTTGGTAATATTTTTTTTTCAAGTTGGGAAAAAGAAGAAAAAGTTCAGGCAAATAATTATTTCTTTATTCGATTTACCCGAAAGTTCATCCCTTGGCCGACGAGGAAGATCTACTCAGCCGGTAAGATCAATTGGCCAGTCGTTCGATAACATACCCCTCCAATCGCGAGCCAACTTTAGCACACTTCGGTAGCCATATGTCTAGTGATCTTATATCGATCTAGCCCCTGGTTACAACTTTGTTTATTTTTCCCCACGAACAGGCTTGAAAAAAGTTGTCAGGTCAATATTTAATTTCATATATAAACAAGGCAACAAAAGGCTCTTTCTCTTTTTTAATTTAATGAAATGGACACTCCGAAAGCTTATACCAGCTAGTATAGGAGCATTTCCAAAGTTTTTAATCAATTGTCTATTTGTTTGCTAGGTTACCATTAACAAATTCACAAGACAAGAAAACTTCTTCTGCGACTGCACGTGAGCATATCCCATAATCACAGTGCTAATTCTTAAACAATGCCACCGGAGTCCGCACGTTTCTCAGTCCTGTAGAACGCAGACTGCAGTGTGGAACCTTTTTTTTTTTTTTTTTAACTAGAGCAGTCAGCGGTGAGGAAATTAATGCTGGCCCAAGTCAGGAGTCACCACAGTTTGACACGGACGGAGGAATTGTGTGGAAGAAGAAATATTGAGACCCAATAGGGAGTTTGATACGACGGCATCATCCATGTCATATTAATGCCCAAAATGTTAGACTGCATTAAAGAGTATTTATTTGTTGTTTCCTTTTCCCATTTTCTAGTATTTGGTCCTCCACATGTCAATTATATAACGCTAACTTTGCTAATCTTGATAGAATAATATTTTATGGTGGCCAACACGAGGCCACCAGATACCTATTCATTTTTTTTCATCATTTACCTATTTAGAGTAAATTATAAATTTGTCCTCTCTAATTTTAAAAAATAAATTAATTAATGTCTTTTGTTTCAAAAATTAATTATTTAGTCATTTTCATCAATTTTATATATTTTTTTATTTTTTAATAAATAAATAGAGATTATAGAAAGGTTGAATAACAAAAAAATATTTTCTTAGAATAAAATAATATTAAATTAACTATGAAAAAATTAAATAATTAATTTTAAAATGAGATGTATTAATTAATTTATTTTTCAAAATTAAATGTTTACTCCACATATTTACATCATATTATATCAAAATATAATTGCATGAGTTGGATTCTGTTTCCCCACAGTTGAAACTTTTTCAGTTCATTTTTTTTAGGATAGAAAGAAAGAAACATGACTGCACGAGACATGCACGCGCACAACTCACATAAGTTATGCTTGTGCAAAGCCTTCAACGTCTTACACTCCAATTTTCTCGTGAAAAACACGGCGTACGTGCGATGGTTTCGGCTTGTGCTTAGATATGAGGACGTTTAGGAGGCTTTTTAAAATGTACACGAAATTTTTTTTCGCGATGTTTGATATAAGTAATGTGAAAAAAATGATAGCATTGGAATTTTATGATATTTTATAATGATGAGGTGATAACGATACTGATGAGAATGGAGACGATAATAACAAAAAGAAGGAATTGATGATGATAATGAAGAAATAGAGGTGGAGTGATATGATGGTGACTGCAATGGTGGTTGCTGTGGGATGAGGGTTGTGATAAAGGTGGCGAAGATTCGGATGCTTAGCGACCGTGGCTGACTGATAGGGTAAATTAGCTAGATGATATTATGAGCTAATTAGTATTTATAAATTATTTTATGTAATTTTAAAGGTTGAAAATATTTTTCCACAAGCAAATTAAATTTATATTTTGACCAAATATATTTTGCGTTGACGAAATTCTTTTTTTGTAAAATATTTGATGCAAAACAAACACTCCCAGTGTCGTGGGTAACTAGAAAAAAATATAATAAGAAAAAGAGTCTTACAAATCAAACTTCTGTCATTTAATTTCCGGTTAAAGGAACCGATTCATTGCTTTTGGAGGCTTAGCTTGATTGACAGGTAAGTGTGTTCTCCAAGTTATCAATCATGATTTGAATCATATAACATATAATAATAAAAAAAATCTAGTAAATGCATAATAGTTAAGAGAATGTATGAATTGTTTAAAATTTTATCGAGAAAGGACTCAACAGTGATAAATGAAATCTGATAAAAAGATATATCTTTATCAAAATCCAAGTACAGGATTCTATATACAATCTACGTTGGTGTATCTTAAACATTTGTCGGCGAGGAAAATTTGTGCAGCTCCTTTTTTTTTTTTTTTTTTTTTGTAAAATCATTTTGTGTACAATTTTATTACGGTTCGTTAACAAGAAATTAGAGGTGGCTTCTACCGTTCTTTCTCTTCAAAAGGATAAAATTTTCCTCTACCTTTGTTAGTCATGGAATATTGTTAGCTTTTGTCCAACCAAATGTGGGTTTTTCCTGCAAACATTTGGTAATTTAATACTACAGATTTATTTGTTAATAGCATCACCGACTTCTCAAAAATTTGAGTATGTGACTGATTTAAACAAAAAAAAATTGTCAAAAACATTCTAAATTTTGGGAAAAAGACGTAGAATTCCCGATAAATTAAGCTGACTAGCCAGACTATTCCTGATCCTAAAGAATCAGAAATCCGAGAGTATTAGAATCAAGTGCTAAATTAATAAAATTGAATGGACGCAGAATAGAAACATGTCCATATCAAAAATCAGAAAGAGAGAGAGAGAGAAGAAGATGCGAGATGCAGTTTAAGACGACGGAGACGAAAGAGTAGATCAAGGTCACCAAAAAGCCACGTTACAGAAAGAATCCAAATCAGGAGTCAAGATCGAAGCCCACACTTGAGAGAAGATAAGATTATAATTGAGCTTCTGGCCTGTGGCCTGTGGGTGTGCATGCACTAGAGACATTAAGATAGGGGACAGAGATCAGACATCTTGGTTTTGCATTAGGTCCCTTGTCAGTTAATTTCAAAGAAATACAGGAAAATCCAACTAAACATTGTACAAAAATAAATTGCGTTCAGCTTTATACATGGCCTGCACTGAACTAAATTATGTGAAAATCCAACCAGATTCCGGCAGGTAAAATATTGAGCACAGGTTTTGTACCCTATTCATGAGCATTGCCTACGAAGTATGTGCAGAGTCTAATTTACATATGGAATCCCTTTTCTTTTATTGAAATAGATTGAATTGCTTTGGAATTCCGATTTTTTCGGCTTGGGATCTTGTAGCATGTGATATACCAAATGGTACGAAGAGGGAAATTTGTTTTACTCGCAAACTCCCTTGTCCTTTTACTTGTCTTTCTTCTGCTTTTGAGAGAATTTTATTCTTCATTTTTCTTTGAAAACTCCACTAATAATTATAATTAACTAGGTGAACTTCGGATTCAGCCAATGCGCGGCCAGTAAAGACACAAGGTTGGGTCCGAACATATTGATGTTGTTTTCATTCATAAAGATGTTGAGTCGAATCCTGGTCGAGCGCCCAGCTAGCTAGACTAACATATATAGGTCCTAGAGCTAACCCTTTTGCGACTCGATCTAACTCCACACATGATTCGATTTTGAGCCAATCCCACCTGCTAGGAGTCAAATTTTTGTTCTCGCATTACGAATGATAGTACTACTAGCTAGTGATTTTACTGTTTTCAGAAATAAAAGGTTCTATTGCCTTTCTTATCCATGGAGAGTGCTGACACGCTGCCATGATTTTTCTGTCTTTTTGTTGAATTTAATCCTCCTCCTAAAGCAAGAACTAGATTCCTGAGTCATTTCACCTCCATACTTTTCGTGATTAACGTTGGATTACCAATCCAGTGATGCATGAATGTGAACTACATGACTAGATATACACAGTTTGCCATTCCCCTATGTCAAAACTATGCAATCATGTGAAGTTTTAATTCTTTGTTTAATTACTTGCTAAATCTTTATAGATTTTGGCATGTCCTACAGGGTTGATGACATTTTAACCACTTGCCATAAATCAACAGCTAAATACTTGACAATGACATTGCAGCATTTGGGACATGAGTGTCTTGTCCTAGCCAGGCACAGGTTAGAGACTTGGCATTTGCAAACAGTTGCATGTGTTAGATAGGATTTCATGTTCATGGTGCACACATTCATCAGCTGAATGTTAATTCAAGCTAAAAGGACGGTCTTCTAATCCAGCCATGAGGGTTTGTTGGTTGGCCAGGGTTCGCACCACCGACGATATTTGTCCTGCCTCTTTCCCTATTTGATCCCACTGGCCTACCACTCTCAAGTTTTCATGAACCCCCGGATTCTTCTTGCCTTGCCCCCTCATCATGCATGAACTTTTGAAGTAGGCTTTGCCCCACATCATCTATTTCAATTTGGCACTTTCATGGAACAGTACCAACCTTTCTTTTCTTCTATTCTTTTATTTATTGGAAAATAATTTTACTTTAGAAAAAGAGATTTAAAAGGGTGTGAAGAAAACTTAAAAATTTTTCAATAGGTAGGCCTGTTTCTTTCCTCATTCTGTCTATAGTCAAGCAACAATGAATGAAGCTGGGTCATGACATAGGAGCTGGTTCCACGTACGATATATCTACTTGTATCCATTACTAAACTCTTCTGTAATATTGATATAGGAAATAAAAACTATGACTTGGACCTTATCGATGGAATGATAGATTTTAATTACTAGGGAAACTAAACAGGTTTGTGGTTGTCATTTTTTCCTAATACCTTACCTTGTTTTGTGAGAACATAATTGTCTATTGAAAGTTTATTTTTAACTTTTTTCCGCATGGGATTAGTGAATAGGGAAAGAATAGTCAATTAATCTTCCTTCTCAAGTCTCCAACATTTCAAACACCGAAGGAAAATTGATTTTGAATTTGCTTGAACTTATTTTAAGCAATTCTATATAGTATAATTAGATATTACACTCATGAAAGTGTTCAATTATAAGCCCTTGTGCCATTACTTTTGCTAGTTTATATATTATAATTAATCCTGCCTGGAAGGTTCTTTAAGAAAAAAAAATCCATAAATAAGTAAATATTTAAGTGCCAAGGGGAGTCAATAATGATTAGATGCGGCATGGAGAAATCCAGAATAATATTGTCACTTATGCCATTGTGGACCTTGAGGGAGCACATCGTTGATTGCTTTGTTTTCTTAAGACGTATGCCAATGGAGACCACACATGGAAGAACTCGAATCATTTAGCATTATGCATTATTATGAAGAAAACAAAAATTTGCGCATTAAATAGCTATTTAATGCTAACAATAAATAGTCATCAATTGCAGACAACGCTCCCTCAAATGATTGAAAAAACGTTTTCTTTCTCATTTTCTGCTTGATCGTTTTCATGATGAGCTAATCCATGGACTAATAATGGCTCCTGGTGACTGACTACTGATGCATTTAAAAGTAATGCCATTCTTACTATTAATGCTATTAATTCTTACATAATTATTTTACATAATTTACTTATGGAAACATAATCAATCATTGGATGAATGTCTCATACATTAAATAAGTAGATTTCATTAATAATTCTCTTAAATCCAATAATTGATTTTTTTCTATAAGTAAATTATGTAAGATAATAATTATATAGAAATAGCATTACTTACAAAATTTTGAATTTGATATTTAGTCTCCAAGGCAAAAGCTAACCGGTGTCCTTAGGACATTTTTTTTTAAGTATTATCTAAATGCATTTATTATACATTATTTATTATTTGATTGTGATAAAAAAAAAAAGGAAATAAAAATCAAACATTTGAATGACAATGAATGATATTTATTATAAATATTAAATATATGTTAATTTTATATATTATTTTTTTAAAGCGTTAACAATAAATTCTAAAACTAAAAAGGAAATATTGATTTAGATTATTAAATAACTCATAACATGATGCTCTAATGACAAGTATTTTCCCAAAACAATGTAGATTAAAATTTTATTCTCAAAATATGATAGTTTTAATCTTATTTTTTTATAATAGAGTATTTTATGTCACATGAATTTCATGACTTATATGTCTCGTTAAAATATATATACTTTTTAAACACTTGGATTAGAAAGCAAAATGATGAATATCTAGAGAGAAGACAAATGATTTCCTAAATCAATATACTCTATTTACTTTAAAGAGATTGCACTCTTTGATTTTTCACGTAACTTAATAAAATTATTAATTATTATACCATATCGGTTTTTTTTTTCATTTGCTTGTTATCAAATAGATTGTTGATATGGAAATTACATAGCATAAAATGTCCTAATTTTGTAAATAAGTTTTGAAATACTTCATTTTAGAAAGAAAAAAAATTAGAAGGATCATTATTTGAAAGAAACTCCATTGAACTTGGGTGACATGAAATGCCCTATTATAATAAATAATGTTAAAACTGTTCCATCGTAAGAATAAAGATTTAAAAGAATCCTATTTTTTTAAAAAATAACTCCACTAATGACACCTGTTAGCCCGGATCATTTATCTGATTGGCTTAGCGTGAAATAGGAGATGGGATTTCTTGGAGTTTTTTTTTTAAACTAAGGTATTTCTAAAACTTATGTACAAAAAAAAAAAAAAAGATTTTTTTAATTTTATTTATTAAATGTTGATAGTTTTTGCCACGTGGATAAAATCTAATTGATTTAGAAAACCAACCTTGTTATCAAATATATACTTTGCAAGCAGTAGCATTTGGACAGTACACCTTCAAAATTTTTCTTTGCACAGAGAAGAGAATGATCTAATTGATTTTACTATGTATTAATTTTTTTTTTAATTTTGATATAGGTTTATGAGAGATTGCCTATATATATATATATATATTTCAAAATATTTATTTTTAAAATGTATACTTTTCTAAAATATTTATAATTAAAGTCTATTTTGTAAAACATTGCTCAAGTTTAATTATATATATAAAAAAATCAAATTAAAAGTTACATTCCAATTATATCAATTTATAAATTTATTTTTATTAATTGTTTACTTTAAAAAAAAATATTAGTTAAGTAAAAAAGAAATGATATGGATAAATAAATCCTACATGGTATAAAATACACTAGTTTAGGAAATAATTTTAAAACTACCTTGTTTTGATAAAAAAAAGATTTAAAAATATCCTGATTTGAAAAAAAACTCGAATTTCTTGGTTAGTAATCGCCAATTAGACAGGACTAGATTTTTGACCCATGCTATGCTCGCGGATTGGATAAAATATATAAAATCATTTAGAAAAATTATTTCAGTTTAATAATATGTTTTATGATGTGAATCTATAACAATATATGAAATCAAATATATATATATATATATATATATATATATATATAAAAAGAGATAATTTTTTAAATAAAAAATTTTGTATTTAACTATTTCTTATTTGTGTTTTTCATATTTTTTTCTTTACAAAAATGATTTATCCTTGTCAATCCATGGATTATTAACTAAAAAAAAATTAAATAATTTTTTAAAAAGCTTTAGTATTTTATAAGATTGTGTAAAAAAAAAAATAATTACTTAAGGCTTATATAGAATTGAGCAAATATTTTATTTTTTATTTCATGTTGATGAGAATATCGATTTTTGAAAAAAAAATGTGAATTTAATTTTTATTAATCGGATGAATAATATTAAAATGAATCAAAACTATGAGTAAATATGATTTTAAATTAATTGGATGAAAATTTAAAAGAAATGACAAATTAATGAAAATAGTAATAAATGATAAACTATGAGTAATAAAATTCTTTATTATAATATATGTACTTTTTTTTTGAGAAATACATCTTATGTAATTGTTAATTAATAAATTATGTCATGTGATAGTATTTACTTATAGACATAATTATTTTTTGAAAAAAAACATTATTTTTTCAATTTAGATATTTTAAACTTTAGAAATAAATAATAAAGAAAATAAATTGTTGATTCCTTTAAAATTATAGCACCCAATTAATTATTGATTTCTTTAAAATTTTAACACCCAACATTATTCAAAAACGAAAATAATATAAAAATCGTTCACTTTTCAGAAACGAAAATAAAAAAATGATCACATCAAAAGAAAAATTAGATATTTTAAATTTTAGAAATAAATAATAAAGAAAATAAATTATTGATTTTTAAAAAATTTTAACACCAAATTAATTGTTCGTTCTTTTAAAATTTTAACACCCAATATTATTAAGAAACGAAAATTAAAAAAAAAAATCAATGTTTAAGAAAAAAACAAGAGTGGGAGGCTAGCCGTTTACTGTTCATATGAACAGTAATGGATGAAAATTTAAAAATAAAAAAATTCAATATTTAGAAAGAAAAAATAGAGAGGTGGGGAGGGGGCAAGTCGTTTACTGTTCAAATGAACAGTAAACGAAACAAAAAAATCAAAGAGTGCTAGCCAAAAAAAAGTAAAAACTAAAGAACAATAATGAATAATAATAATCACTGTTTATTATTTATTATTATTAATTATTACAATAAAAAAAACATTTCACTTTAATTTATAGTATAATATAATTTAAATTAATTAGCTGGATGTCCTAGCGATCCGAGGTAAAAGAAACATAATCTTTGGACATAGTTACGTGCCGTATTATTATCATTATTATTAATTTGGAACCCTCCAATAAAGAAAATTTTCACAATTAATCTATCTAAAACGTGCTAGAAAAACGGGATCGCACCAAAACGAAGTACATAAGACCTTGGTCCTTAATTCACTAATATCTTCATAGCAGAGGGTCGCTTTTCATCATACGATCCTCTCCATCAGTAGACACAAATCACAAGAAGAATATTGAGAGAAAAAAAAGAGAGCAACATTGCAAAAGAGATAGAGATAGATGATGATTACTATGCCCCCATCATTTCCTCTCTCTTTCCCTAATTACAGCACGTGGCAAGTGTGCAAAATGCCCTCTTGCGTGTAATAAAACCGGTGGCTATTTTCTACTAACTTACAGTCTTACGCGGCCTTCCACCAAACTGAAATCACAAAGCTACCCCTAGTCCCCACTGTCACAGACCAATCTAATCCAATTCAAGTGCTGCCCCCACCAAAGATCCCATCCTTCTCTTATCGTATTGGTCCTAATAGAAACACCAAGCATCACAGCTTGTGATGTTAGAATTTCCTCACTTTACTCTCTTTGTCCTATATAAAGTTACAGAGGCCAGTTCTTACATCCAAAAACTGAAGCAGCTGAAGCAGAAGCTTCCCCTCTCTCTTCCCTTCTCTCCCTATAAATTCTGGAAGAAAGACTCATTGTTCTCTCATTATCTCTAAAAGAGCAACGATCTTTTTCTCTGTTTCTCTCTCTTTTTTCAGCTAAATGGGTTTTCCAGTTGGGTACTCTGAGGTTTTCTTACCAAAGCTGTTTGTACACACACTTTCCTTTTTGGGTTTCATCAGAAACCTCATTATGTGTCTTTTTACCTATCTGGGTCTCTCAGATTTTATTGAAACTGACAATATCTGGCCCGATAATCCGACCTCAATGTCCTGCTACCCGTCTCTATCAGCTGCCCTGATCCGGGAAATCTTGCCTGTCATCAAGTTCGAGGAATTGGTCGCCGGAGATGGTGGTTGCTGTGACTTGCCGGAGAGCTGTGCTGTTTGTTTGTATGAGTTTGAAGGAGAGGATGAGATCAGGTGGTTGAAGAACTGTAAGCACATTTTTCACAGGTGTTGTTTGGACCGTTGGATGGATCACGATAGGAACACTTGTCCGCTCTGCAGGACTTCGTTCGTGCCTGATGAGATGCAGGAAGAGTTTAATCAACGGTTATGGGCTGCTAATAATGATGTTGGTGATTTTTACAGCGAGTAGAGTTCTGTTTCAGTTTTGTAGTGAGCTTGAGGTTGTATCGAGTGTATATATACATGGAAATTTGGCAATTCAGCCAAATAAAAGAATTTTTTAAAAAATGATTTAGTCTCTTGGTATGCATTTTTGTTACTATTTTATCTTATATATATATATATATATATATATATATATATAACAATTAGAGACTAGGGAATGAAATGCATAATTGTTGGCCAATTTGTTTATGATGGGGTTGGTCTTCAGGAGAAATAGTTTGGTTGATTTTGTACATGAACCTTATTCATACGATAAATGGGTCGATATGATTAGTGTGGGTCTAACAAATAATATTATTAGCTCAATTTGTTAATATACTCCCGAGGATTTATCTAATAATTTATTTTGAAAAATAGACCTAATTAAGTTTGTTATTTTGGTGACAATTTGTTGATTGATTGATGGCTGAAAATACATCTTCCTGGCTCGTAGGCCATAGGGCATCAATTTCGTACTTTACGAAAGAGAAAATACCTAATATTTTAAAAGATCCTGAAAGCTTCTTTTGAGGTACATATATTCATGGGAAAAGGGTGTAAGCTTAGGACAGCCTCTTCATTTTTCTTAAGAGTAACGCTCTCTAATTTAGTAATGAGTAGTTTAGTTGGTTTGAGGAAAAAAGAAAAGGTTGATGTTATTGGGCAGTTTGGTGTGCAGGTCGCTAACCGACTGCTTCGGATCTTGTCAGCTTATGTCACGGGATTATTGAGAGTTCAATCAATCTCGTTATCATTTCTTTTTCTCCTTATTTCTGGTGACTGGTATGGCTGCCTACTTTATCTATTTCTATATTTTGGATAAATTTTAATTTGTCCTCCTGAACCTGAGGTGTTTGAAGAGTTCCTTCATTTCTTATCTAAGACTTCTTTGTATCAATTACTCCTTTAATTTTTTTTTTGGTCAAAATTTCAACTCTTTATTTTCTTGTATTAAATTAACATAATGATATGATATTTTTCATGTTTTAATTGACTTTATAAAGTATTTTAAAAGTTTCAATAAAATATTTATCCTTCAATTATATTAAAATTTATAAAATTATCTCGTCAATTTTTTTAAAAAAAAAATACAGGAAGAAGTTTAATTTCAATTATGAAATACTACATTATCAGTTTGAGTTTATGAATCTTAATATGATTTGAAGTAGCAATAAATAAATTTCAATTAAAATTTGAAGAAAAATATATATAGTATATTAGTATTACTAATTTTATTATATTAATCTTTATGTTTTACTCAATTAACGGAGTTTATTGTTTTTTCTATATATATAGAGAGAGGAAAAAAAGATAGTTAATATGATTGAAGAATTCATGATTAATTAAGATTTTTTTAAAACTTTTATAAAATCAATTAAAATATAAACATTACCCATCATTAGTTATATTAGTTTGATAGGTAGAATAGAAGTATTGAAATTTTGATGAAAATTCAAGAAGTAATTGATATAAACAAAATATCAGAATAAAAATTTTAAAAATCCTAAAACCTTGATGGGTAAATTAAAATTTGCCCGTGTATTTCATAGAGGCCATTCATGTAAATTGGCGATTTTTTTCCTTATTTTTTGTCACTGCTGTTTTATGTCTCTAATTAGATTTTAGGTAAATCACTATTGACGTATTTATATATATATATTTTTTATAATATTTAATTTGCATTCAGGCCTGAAGTAGTAACATAGTACAGAGAGTTTCTCTCTCTCTCTCTCCCTTTTATAAACATGGAAATAATGAGTTAAGAAATTCCACAGAGACAAGACGACAATCTATTGATTAACAAATACTGTGGAATATGACAAGATAATTAATTTGGCCATCGGAGGTTCACTGTAATAAGAGAATTTGAAAAGATAATTGCTTTAGCTTTTAAAGGTAGCAAATTACAAAATATTATCTGGCAAATGGTGGAATATGACGGGAGAAGTAATCTGGCATGGCGCAAGATAGGGAATAAAATACTTAGGGGAGGCATTATGGGATTGCAGTTTTTGTCCACTCAAGCTTATCTGTTACAAAATGGCCATGAACTTGCGTTTGGGTGCATAAATTAATTAATGTGTAACATAGAGAGGGGCTGGCTGCATAGAAGGTGGTGGGGGTGCATTGATATTTTTATGTTTGGTGGCGATGATGAAATTGGATTCTGTGCTCGACCCATCTCTATCTCAGGCTCTGTTGCTGTGCCAGCAATGGCTTTACAGGTTTTGTAAGTTTGTACAGTGCACCCGGACACTTGGCTTGTGAAAAATCATAAAACATACCTACCCGGTCCGAGTCAATATTTATGGTAAATTATATTTCCTGGCATTGCTTACATTCCGGCACGGGAACTAAAAATTTCCTATTCCGGCACCATTCGAGTAATTAGTGTAAATTATTTTAATAAAAAACACAGGCACACAAGCTGGAGAAAAACAATTAATAAAAAAAATTTGAATCAATGTGTAAATTTTTTTTAAAAACTTTTGATAAGCTTAAATATAATTTCTTTTATATATCTATCTAAAAAAAAATGAATCTATTGAATAATAATAATAATAATAATAATTATTATTATTATTATTATTATTATTATTATTATAGTTATTTTTTAATATTATAATATTTTTGGCAGGGTGACACGTTAAATTTAGGGAGTATGCGGATTATTAAATTTGGGAATTGATTGAGTAGGACAGGGCATGTCTTGTGCGACTAGGTACATCCCGCAAGTTCAAAATCTGTTAATTTCTTGCGATCAAGCCACTTTGAATGTTATTTTCTTCAAAATTTCCTTGTCGAGTCGCTTGACGGCGCTGAAAAAAGGTGAATTTAAACTAGGCGTAGATAAAAATTAGCTTTAATAATATCATCTAATTATAGAAATAAAAAAAAAAGATATCTTTGAAAAAAATCTCATTTTGAGAATTAGTGTTTGTATTAAATTGGCAAATTAAATCTAGTGTAGATAATTTGATAAATTCGACTCAATATTCATTACAATTGAGCAATTCAATTTAACCATCTTAAATTCTTAACAAATATGCAAAAACTTATTGCTGTAAAACATATTAGTTACATGACATATAATTTTAACTAAAATACCCAACTCTAATAAAAAAATAAAATTATGCACATGTAACTCTCTCATAACCTAATACTTTATGCTGTTTGTTTTAAAATAAAAGGAGAATAGATTTAATTTTAATTTTAGCATTTTCACCTAATAAATCTACTTTTCTCTGTAATCTTACGGGTTTTTTTTTTTTTTTTTTGCGTGTTTGTTGATATTTAAGAGAAGTTGAATCGAATCGTCTAAATATAATAAATATAGAGTCAAATTTGTTAAATTGTTTACATAGAGTTTAATTTACTGATTTGATACAAATGTAAAATCTTAAATAGAGGTTTTATAGAAATCTTTAGTTGGAAAATATTTGGCATACATACATGTTTAGAATATACAAGGCGTAAAATATAAATCAGTCTTATAGTTTTGCATAATGAATTAAATAATTAGACTTTAAAAAAACTAATTAATTATTCTATTAATCAAAGATGGTAATAGTTAATTTAATATTATTTTATTTAAAAATATCTTTTTTCATCAATCTTTTCTTTTACCTTTTCTTTTATCTATTTAAAAAAAATGAAAAAGAAAGAAAATGGTTAACTTACAAATAAATTTAAAATTATGAGAACTAATTAATTAGTTATTAGTTATTGGAACTAGATTAACTCTTTAATTCATTTAAAAAGCTAAAAAGACTAGGTCATAATATCCAAGCAACATGAAATACTGTAGTATTTCTTACAGTACTCCTTACTTTTTGGATGTTCAGAACATTTAAGCAATAAACAATGATTTTAGCCGATAAAAAAATGTAGAGTATCCACTAATCATCTACTTTATGTCGTATTCCAGTACCATGTTATGGATGACTTGGAGTTTTCATGATTTCGTTAAAAATTAACTCATTTTATGTGATTGAATTACGTAAACAAAAAATCCTTTAATCACTCCGGCGTAGCAAAAGAACAGAACTTAAAATTATGGTAACAAGCAACCTTTTGTTTTTGTGTCGCAACAGCCATAAGCATGATTGTGCAGACAGCTCATGTACAGGAGGAGAGCCATTTAAGCTTGGCAGACAATCTTGCTCGAGATCAGAAAACATCAGATGCAATCAAATAATTGCTCCCCTCATGCTATGTCCATACTCCATAGGCATATATAGATAAACTTGTCCTAATAACCGCTTATCATGTAGCCGTAATTTTAAAGGCTGTAGGAATGGAATGAACCCAGCCTAAATAACGGGAATCTGAATTTTTATTTTATTTTATTTTAGAACAATTCCCATCCCCTATGCGCTCATTGGGATTGTGTTTTATCTTTTCAGTTGCTGGTGAAATGTTCTCTCGCCCATGCATGCTAGCTTAAGGGCTTGGTTGTTCGCGTCAAGAGGCTAAGTAAATCTATGCAAAAATTAGAGCAACAACAATATAAGAAGGAAAAACAATAGTAATACCTTATCATAGGAGTTAAATTGATTTTATTTTTCAAAATGATCAAATTACATGGTGGATGTTTATGGTAAGTACCTCATGTACATTTTTTTTACTGATTTAATTTAAACAAAAAAATTATTTATGATTACAATGTCATTTTGCTAAATATATCGACCATACAATAACTTATAAAAATATTAAGATTTTACTCTCTTAATTTTAAGTTCTAACTTCGCCAGTCTAAGAGTAGTGCCACAACGACTTCCAGCAAACATGCTATTGTCTATTTTTTTTTTCTTATCATGTGTTACTCTAGGTTGATTAATCAGCTGTTGGTTAAAAATTCAAGTACATTTTTACTGTTTGTAAAGCAAAAACTGAAACAGGTTTTGATTTCAAAAGCCACAAATAATAATAATAATAATAAATAAATAAATCTAAAAGGCCGTAAGGGCTGGACCCACTAAAGTGCACTTTAATGACATAAAGGCCCATTTTAGTTCCCGTCTTGAAACTCAATCCAAGCTCAGCCCAAACTCATTTTTGTGTGAGCATGGAGAAAGGAAAGTAACCAGGACTCGGGAATATCTTCAGGGTGAGAATTATACCTGCAAGCACCTTCCAGGCTGCATTAGAAAGCAATGCCAGCATTCTGGGGCACCTGGTGGCCGAATTTTTGTTCAATTCAGGTTCAATGTTTCGTTAGAAATGGCATTTGTGAGTGCTGACTTGGCAGGAAAGCAAGCCCCTCCCTACAAAATAAAAAATATGACGTTGCCTATGCTAGATTTGTGTTTGTTGATTTACCCTCTTGTTGCATACTAAAGTATGCAATTTTAAAACTAGATGCGGTGCAGCCTGCAGGGGTCAGTCGGAGAGGTCATCCAGACCTACTTGATTTTCATTGGTTCATGAGTATTATAGATTGTTGCAGACTTATCAATGCATTCTACTGTGAACAAACTGCTTCAAGAGTAAAGCAATAGAAACGCAGATGCGAGTACGATCCAAAGTCAAGACTTCTTTGATTTCCCAAGTATTCAAGCTCAAGCAACATTGATGTTTAGACATGCAGTGGACTGTGTTGATTTCATGTTTCAGCAAAAGCAGTTGCTGGTGGTGTCATTTTCGCTAGGAAAGATCCACCATTCCGAAATTCCAGAACCTATCACTAAGAATGACTCACTATATCAGACTAGATGGCGATGTAGATGACACTATAATTCCTGATGTGATTTCACGAAGAAAATTTACACCATGCATAGGCTTCGGATGGCAATTGTAGTGTGTCAAATGCTATGCAGACATGCACTCAATCATAAGTTTCCACGCATCACTTGTTTCATCAACGCATTTTGAGGGTGACCTTTCCAACCGGCCCTTGAGTTCAATGGGTTTCAACAACGTACAAGACATTAATATAAAGCCAATTAAATAGAACTGCCAAGACTTTCAGCGAATCCTGACAATGGGCTAAAACCCATCTATATCTTCTAATCCAGCCCTAATGGATTAAATAGCAGAAAAGATAATGATAAGATATTTACTAGTAAATTCAACTGATCCTTAACTCAACACTGGAACAAATATTTTTTTTTAACCAACACTTGAACAAGTATGAACAATCTGACTGAAGGAATTCAAAGTTCCAGACTATAATTCTCCATATATGTATCCTCGGGCAAAGTGTTCCTAAAGTTATATGATAATGGACAATCCGGAATGCAGTTGCTGAACCAATAAGTAGTGTGTATATAAAGAGCATAAAAGAAACTGGAAGGCTCATTATCACGGAAGATCGAGTAGAACAGGCAATTTTCACTGGCATGACTGCATTTCAATCCAGATCACCTTGAGTAGCCAGGTGGAGGATAAGCATGAGGTTGTGGATGGGCAGCAGGAGGGTAACCTTGAACTTGTGGGGGTGGAGGATAGCCATAAGGCTGCCCATATGCTTGTTGAGGTGCGTAGCCAGCGTATGGAGGAATTGGCTGATCAATACGTGACATCTGCTGCACTGGAGGAACTGCCATAGCAGGCTGTGGCCCAAACTTACCATCTCTCTTGTCCATTTCAACCTTGTGCTGGGTCTGCATTATTAACCAGGAAAGTGAAGAACATCATGCAATTGTAAAAGGATTATTTTAACCCAACCAAGGATTTAGATAAGTAAGATTCGACAATTTGCAATATATTAAATGCCACTGGTTGCAAAAGTTGAACATCAAGATTTTGCAATGTGTAAACTTTTAGATCCAACTCTTAAAGAAGAGCAACTTATAGATTTATAGATTATACTAATAAATTATTTCAACAATCCTAGATGACCTAAAGCAGGCCCTAAAAGTGGGCTACAACAGTAATATACCAATTCTTTCGACAGGCACTTGAAGTTTTATTTATAGCATACCTGAATACATGAGCAGACCCTGCCAAAACAGAAAAAGGAAAAGGAATTAATTCGAGATCTTAAACTCTCTCAACTTTGGAATAAGTCCACTAACTTCCTTACGTGCAATAGACCAAATCAGACAAACAGCTCAGCAACTGGGCAAGGTCTCCAATTTCATCATTTCCAGTTATGCAAGCAACTAACGAACATATACACGCCAATTGCTGCAGACAGAACATAAATCCCTACAAAAGGAAGCATGCCATGGTTGAAATAGAGATAGATGTCTGAAAAATGCGAGAGATATGCATGTGAAAACATCATCCATAAGAGAAATAGAGGGAGTACAATAATGCAGTTGTCGCATTGTGTAGTTTGTATATTGAACTCGTCTTGCAATAGGAAGCGAGTTGAGGCAACTGAATTAGGGAAGCAGCAGAAGACCTGAAGAAAAAAGAAACAGAGAGAAATTAATATTTAAAGATACTTATTGTCGGGTGGACAGCATGTTAAAAACTCTGATGATGCATAAATATGAAGTCTCAAAAAAACGATTCTCTGCCTATCCCTCTGGTTATTAATAAGAAGCTGGGAAACTCTATAATAAGGTGAGAAAAGAGCAGATTAATGTCAAACCTCAGTGCAAAGGCAAAGTTCAGGGCATTTGCTTTCTCCACACTTCCCACTACATGGAAGATAGCCAGCACAGCAGACATACCTACAGGAGAGCAGATGCAAAAATTATGCTAGTATTCACTTGGATTCTTGTAAGAGCAGAAACCTAAGGAGAAAGTAACAGCAATTACCTTGACATGTCATTGTAAAGAGCTCGTTTGCGCAGCATGTATGAGACACATGGTCCACTATGACAACCAAAACAAAAAGATTTTTAATCTGATAAATATGCTCTTATCCTTCACACAATTCAAAATTTTCAAATACCTCAAAAGCAACACTAGCAATCACTTCATAAAAAAAAAAAAAAAAAAAAGCAATCACATAATAACTTAAGAGTAAGCCAGGGTCATGACAATGACAATTCATCTTTCGAAGTCCAGCTTCCTTAGCAGAAAACTGGGGATCTAACAGTGTGTGTTTTTATACAATAAAGGAACTTCTTTTCTCATTGTTAGGAAAAATCTTTCCATTTAATTTATAACAGACGCTCAGTTTCTTGGCATTAAAAGCTTCATAAACCAAATCCCATTTGCTAAAAAACTAATTAACACGATAAACTTGTAACCATATCCATTAGAAAACATTGCTTTCTTTGGGCTCCCAATCTTATAATATGCACACAACAATGCCTTAATCGTCGCCTTGATTTTAGTAGCAAACAATATAATTAATTTCAATCTTTGAATAAATTCATAAACAAAAACACTGAACATCATATTCCTAATCGACAAGAAAATCTGGAAAACAAACTCATTAACCAAACAGCTATTTGGAAATCCCAGTCATAAATTCTTTCAAACGGATTAAAGAAATGACCAAAATACGATTCAATTACAGCATCAAAGCAACAGTGATTAAAAAGATGAGAGAACTCACCAAAATAATGAGAGGAAACAATCTGCATATCAACCAAACATAAAGCAGAAAATTAGACACAGATCAGACGTAAATTATAGAATATTATCAATAGTATATCAAAATCTGCGAGAAAACAAAGTATAATTAAGAAACAAAACATAAACTCCACTGGCAAAAAGAAACCTTTTGCCGAAGCTCAGTTTGAATGAGTTCTAAAAATTAACATCTCGGTTTCCATTTTTCGCTTATATTTTTACAATCAACCAAACACAAGGCTACAAAATAAAAACAACATGCGTTGATTTGCTTGGCAGCAGAGAAACCAATATAATACATTCAACCTAATCAAAACCTAAGTTTTGACGGAAATTCTATTTGCAAAACGTGAAGCCAACAAGAGCATCAACAGAATCCCATTCACAATTCAAATTAAAATTGAGAAAATAACGAGAAATCAAACAGGATAACATAACGAAAAAAACTGTTACAATTTTCTTAATAATGAAACAGAGGTAGAGAGAGAAGATTACAAGGAGTATCGGCAGCGATAGTGCTCATAAGATTGGTGTGCCAGACATTCCTATAATTCTTACGCATCTCCATTTTCTGAACTTGATCATCCAGCCCCATTTTCCTCTCCTTCTACGATTCAACGATAGCTAGCCTCGCCTCTTGTTTCTTAGAGAGAAGAAAAGGAGAAAGAGAGAGAGAGGATCTTTTCGGGTATGGGGAATTGAAGCGTTGGACTCGTAAAGAATAAACAACTACTAACAAACAGTGTGAAAAAGGCAACGCAAAGAGCAAGACAAGGCCAGGCCGCCAGGGAAGGCAAGGGAAGGGAAGGCTGCGTATTGAATTTGTTAGATACGATTTATGAGATGAAACGAAAGCGTAGAGATTAGAGATTTGTACAACGAGAAAACGCGCAATGGCGTGGAAATACGGGGAGAAGACTAGACCCTCTAGAAACGAAGAATGTGGCCATTTAATTTTGAAGCTGTAAATAGAAATAAATATATTTCATTGTCATTTGTCAGTTTCAAACTTCATCAAATATTTATTCCATGGTTTAATGCTTTTCCTACGCTTCTCTGCCGCCCAAAATTATGACATAGTGAATAATTTTCATTATAATATCAATCAATCCAATCAAATAAAAAAATATTAAGAAAAAGTTTAAGAATTCATTGCTAAAATCAAAAAGTAACCTCTATTTTTTTATTTTAAGACAATTCATTTTATGATTTTTTTGAATGTATGTCAACATGACGCAAAGTTATTTGTTAAATTTAATAGTATTAAACTCGTCTATTGATAAAAGGGAGGGAAAATCATCATCTAGAAAGTTTATATTGATATTAAAAAATATAATTTTTTTTAAATATGAAAAAAAAATGAAAATTTTTGGTCCTGTTGGTTTTAATTGTGATGAAGCATTAGTGTTCCACACGGATATATGATAGATATATCTATCTATCTATATATTCATTTTATATACGAAAAAAAATTAATGGTTAGAAGGCACTATTTCTATCCAGTTTAATTAAACTTTAACTTTAACTTTTTTGAAGCTAAAATTTTTAAAATTGTAAATTAATCAAAATAATTTAAAACAAAAAATTGGTTAAAATTGATTTTTGTTACCCTTTTGAAACTGATGAAGGATGATAAATATAGTAAGAAGGGATTAATTTTTAAGTCCAACAAGAACTTCCTCTTGGACCGTCAAGAAGGGGAAAAAAAAGAATAAAAAAAACTTCATTCGGAGCTTTTAAACGAAGGTGGAAACACCATTGCTTCGGTTTTAAAGATAATCCATGCTGATGGTGATGGAAAAAAATTCCATACATCATGATGATAATAAAAAATAAAAATCAATCCACACTGTATTTATCAAAAAAAAGAAGCACAAAGACACTGTAGAGTGTTCCAAGGGGAACCCAGTCTTGTCTACCAATCGGGCTACGGCCCCGTTGGTTATTCAACGCCTTTTTCGGAGAGTAAAATGTCATACAAGGGCAATTCGGTATATTCATAGGTTAAACATCACATGTGATTTTCCTTATCTCACGTTTTTGTAATAATAATTATTATTATAATGATGCATGGGTTGTTTCATTGTCAAGAAAGAAAAAGATAAACAATTTTAGATCTCATATTAAAGCCAAACCGAATATATTCACATAAAAAGAAAAAAGTTTAGATATAATTATATGACCATCCAGAAGCATATAGAGGACAGCAATTCACTCCACAGCTCTGCTCTCTTTAAAACTTTCACTCGTTCACTTTCAGTCGGATAGTCTATCCTCTGAACAAAAACCTCAAATTTGAGTAGTAATACAGGATAAATGAAATTAAATAAAAAAATACCAGATATAGTAGCATAGGTTTGGATATTTAATTTAGTGAGTAAATTATAAATTAGTCTCTCTAATTTTTTCAAAAGGAATTAAATAGTTCCTTTGATCTCAATAACTAATTAATTAGTCTCTGTATTTTTAAATCTATTTATAACTTAATCATTTTTATTATTTTTTATTAAATAGAAAAAATATATAAGTAAAAAATATGAAAATTTTGATGAGAAAAAAAATATTTTTTAAATAAAATAATATTAAATTAATCATGATTAACATTGATTAAAGAACTAATTAATTACTTTTTAGAACAAAATAAACTATTTGATTCATTTTTTTAAAACTAAAGGGGCTAGTTTATAATTTTTCCTATTTAATAGAAACAAAAAATATATATAATATTTAAAGGAAAGCTTCCACAATCATACCTACATGCAGGGTTATTAAATTCGGATCGGACCGGCTGGTGAACCGACTGCCTAATTGGTTTAAGTTAACACTTAAGTATCTAAATCAACAAAAGACTAGATCAAATCCGACTAATTGGATTGGTTGATAGCATCAACCCGTAAAACAGAAGGGGAGAGAAAAATGATATTAATTGACTCAATTTTAATAACAATGCCTATATTGTTATGAAATAATAATTATTCATTTCATGTTTCGATTACTCATATGATTCAATTCATCATTCAATTAAAAAATTAAAAAAATTGATATAAAATTTATTTAATTATTTATGCATCTGTTAATGATTCATAATCCTTTCAAATTCTCTCTCTAATCTTGAATTTTTTAAAGAGATTAAGAGAATAATTTAAAGCTCTTATCTCTTGTATTCGTTTTATTTTATAATGAATTTATTTTTTGATCATCTTTTTCTTCAATTCTCTTATTATTTCTATTTCTTTCATAACACATATAAGTTTTTTTTAAATATATAATTTAATCAATCTAATTTTATATAATTAGGTAAATTTCCAACATGTAATTATATTTATAATTATATTTATTGTGTTTTAATATAGTATTCGATTTCTCAATATATTCTACAATCAAGTTTTTTTAGATTGATAAAATTATACTTTTTATTTCAAAATACTTTTCAGTTTTATAAGAATACAATAGAAAATTTTTTCAAAATTGCTCAAAATGTTTTAAGGAATAAAAAGTTACAAAATTACTTAACCATGAAATTTTTTTAAAATAAAGATTTTTACTTTTTTTTTCAAAACGTTAAAGCTATATTCTTGTATAGATCCATGGTAGTATTAAAATGAAAAATACAACCATAACTATTTGGATAGAAAAACTTTATGAAAAGATACATTAGAAAATTAAATATTATAAAAAATGCAATATACATAATTAAAAATATAAAGATAAATGAAAGAATTGAACAATTATATATAAAAAAAAAAATAGCTCGAGTGATTTAAAAAAAAAGAAAAAAGAAAAACCGCTTCATCTTCTCAATTGGTCTGTAAACCTTACATTTGTTTCCTTCAGCAGTAAAAAGATAAGAATCAAAGTCCGATGGATGAATCATAATTTTTCGATTAGAGTGTGATTAATGACTCGATGATTTCTAGATCATCATAGTTGCAGGTGATCATTTGCAACAACACGAATAGTTAGACAATCATTCGGTTATCTGGCATGATTATCTTTCTTTCTAACAAAATAATATTAGTTCAAAACTTCTTCAAATCTTATTGTAACCAACTTAAAAAAATAACGAAAACAAAGCACATTCCTTTATAATTGTTTTTCTAACATCTAAAAGTTTAACTCTTAACATTTCTAACAAACGGTGACAAACGCAGGACCAAATGTCTACGGATGTCAAAATAAATATTTATAGATTGTCATGCTTTACTCAAATCTATATATATTATAAATAATATATCAATATATATTTAAAAATAATCTCACAAGTACACGCATTCAAAATAAATTACAAATATGAATATGCAATAATTTCTAAAGCACGATATGTAATAAATTACACATTCACTTAAAATACAAATAAGATATTCAAATTTTCAAATAAAATACATAAATAAACCACCACCCAAGTCTACCGGGAGCCACCCTCTAGGCTCACCGATATACGTACTTAAAAATATTAAAGATTATAGTAGCACCGGTTGTTCTACTAATAAGTTGAATAGATTTCAAAATAATCACTTTAGTAATATAAAACCTATAAAATATAAACAAGAAAAATCGTTATCATAAACAAACAAATAATTGAGAATCTAGTATATTAATCTAAATATGGTTGTGACTAAAATAATTAAATATATTTTTTTTAATAACCATTAATGAAAGAAGAATGATTATTATTATTATTATTTTATCTTTGGGTCTACGACTACAAGCACAACAACGAGTCAACGACACGAAATTTCAAAATAAATAGTACAATTTTAATTCAAGTTGATAGATTATTAGAATTTTACTAAACCATGGATCCAATATTTTAAAAAATACCTTAATCACATAAAATAAAATTAGGAATACAAGCTGATCTAATATTTTAATTATAAAATATTATTTAAAAAAGAAAATTGGTTAGTTGTCAAGATTAAATCAATATATAGAATGAAAAACTTAATAAATTAATAAAATAAACTTAATAAAATAAACTTAATAAATTACTAATTTTTTAAGAAAATACCTACTTGTGTTGTCAAATAAGAAAAATCCAGATTGGAGAAAAGATTTTTTTTTATGTTTTGAATAGAATAAGAGTTAAAGGAAAGGAAAGAAAGAATAAATTTAATAATAATGGAAGATAACTTGGATCGAATTAAATAAATATTAAAGATTTAGTTGTGTCATGTAGAAAAACGAAGGACAAAGGTTAAAAAAACACTAAAAAGGGAGTGGCGGTAGAAGTTACTCGGGACTGTTACTCTAGTATATGAAAAAGATAACAAAGTTGGGGCGCGGGGCGGCGATAACTTACTCTAAGGAAAAGAAGGGTGGGGGGCTCGGGCCCCTGTAGGAATATACGTGCGTCCGCCCCTGCTAACAAATACCATCTAAAGGATTGGACTTACAAAACAAAACAAGCTAATAGGATTTTGAAAGATTAAAACTTATATTAAGAGATAACAATGGATCAGATACAAAATGGATATCCGCATTACCTAATCCAATAAATACTCGTTAAAAATATATAATGAGTATTAGAGTATCTAAGGATAAAAAAATGTATGTTCACTAATATGGTTTCGGGATATCGGTATTCATTCTTTACTT